AGGCTTTCTCCTTCCTCCCCCGCCTCCTCCTCCTCCCCGCCTTCCTCACATTACCGGGGCCTGGATTCCGGACACAAAACTCAGTCATTTGTGTGACTGTTTGTGTGCCTGTCTGTGATGCGTCGTTCGGCCTTATGACTATGTATGTCCTGCCCGCGCCGGTTTGTCTGTAGGTTACAGCGCCGGTTGTCAGCTCCGAAACCACCATCCTGGTGACCGACATTGAGGTGCGTGGAGGCTGGGGAGTCTTGGGGATGGGCATTGTGTGTGTGTGCATGTCTGTCTGTATTTCGGTGTGTATGTCGATATATATGTCGGCATGTGTATATTCACGGGATGGGCGACGGGAGAGTGTAGGTAATGCTCCCCCTAACCCACAAAGGTGCTCTTGACGCTGCAGTTACCCGGCCCTTCCCTGCTCCCGGGCCCCGGCCCAACGTTCTCTTTCTGGTGGTGTGTTTTTGGATTTCCCCTTTTTTCTCCCTCGTTTCATGTTCAGAGCTCCACCAAACTTTGGGAGACGTTGCCTGCTGACGTCATGAGTGCTGCCGTACAGCTGCATCATGCCTGTATCCGCCGACTTGTGGTGGAGCACTGCGGATACGAGTCAGCCACCGAGGTGCGTCTATCTGTCTGTCTATCTGTCTGTCTGTCTGTCTGTTTCTGTTACGCATCAAGCCGGGCCTGACGCTGGCCAGGGGCACCTAACCGTACCCCAACGAGAATGACCGCCGAAGCACTCTCCCCCTAGCGGGAGGACAGGAGCGTGAGGGGCCACAGTCCCCTAGTACTGCTCGTCCCAGGGCGCGCGACCCACCCTGTGTCTATCTACCTCACTCATGTAATCGATGATGAAAGAGCGCACGGTGGCTATGAAGGCCCTCAAACAACCGACGTCAACACGCGCTGCGGCACAGTTCCGCCCAGGCAGCATGCACCAGTTGCAGGTGCGGCTGCCCACCGTGTCTGGCCACCGCCACCGCCACCGCCACCGCCACCGCCACCGCCACCGCCACCGCCACCGCCACCGCCACCGCCACCGCCACCGCCACCGCCACCGCCACCGCCATTCCCAAACTTCCCTCGCACACACACACACACAAACACTCTCTCTCTCTCTCTCTCTCTCTCTCTCTCTCTCTCTCTCAACAGCGCCTTGACATTCCGTCTCTACAACCCCCTCCCCCGGCTCCCCTCAATTCCACCCGCTTCCCTCCCCACCCCTCCCAGGGTGACTCGTTCATTTTGGCGTTCCGTACCGTCAAGCAGGCGGTGGTGTTTGCAATGGACCTCCAGGTAGGGATCATACATACATATCGACATGTGGCCTGCCTGTACCTTGTACGGCATGGTTTGTGCTGTTCGCCAGCCATACACACACATACATACACACACATAACAGCCATACACCAGGCATGTACACACACGAACAAGAGCGCTTCACCCACAAAGTTTTGACCCCAGCATCGAAAACATTTTGCCTCTTTGCCTCTTCCCCCATCAGGCCCAGCTGCTAGTGCTGCCTTGGCCCCAGCAACTGCTACAAGATGAGGTGGGAGGGGGGGGGAATGCGTGCGTGAGGGGCTGCATGCGTGGCCGCGGGGAGGGCGGGCGCTCGTTGATGTGGATGGTGGTGGAAGTGGACGGTGGGGTGGGGTGGGGTGGGGTGGGGGTGGCTCGGCGTCGGCAGTCAGTCAACGGTTTATCTGGGCTGCCGCGGTCCTTACGAGCTCGGTTGGAGGGTGGTGGTGGGCTTCAAGTGACCTTCAAGTGCATGGATGAGGATGATTTCCCTTCCCAGTACGCGCCGGCACGGATTTGACTAATGCTGAGGTCCGGGGTCACACGTGTTTTGGACGTGGAACGGACCCATAGGCGTATTTCCCTTGCCTTCTTTCCCCTCGCCTTCTTGTTGCTGTCGAGACGTCGTACGATGGGGGTGTACAGCTTCAGTGTTTGATCCTGCTGCCCGCCGGCTCCTTAGGAGCTCAAAACACGGAAAAATATGCCTCGTTGTTCGTCCATAGAGATGTTTGCAATTTTTTTTGTCGTGGCCCTAAATATCCTTTTTTGGATAACTATATTGCGGCAGATCTGCGCAGCGGTGTACACAGAGCTACCGGAAGGCTTTCCATTCCACCACCACCACTTCGACGGCGCTGCCGCCGCCGCCGCCGCCGGCGGCGGCGACGACGGCGACGGATACACCGGCGGCGGCGCGGCCGGCGCGGCCGCTGCATCTGCAGCCGTGACGGCAACCAGCCCTTGCGGCGGAGTCGACAGAATGCGGCTCGGGCTTGGGCTGGCCCTAAGCCATCGGGCCATCGGTACCGACGGTGACGGCGGTTACGGCGGCTCAGGGATTGTGAGCGCCGCCGACAGCTTCAGCGCGCATCGGACGACGACGGAAAGGGTTACGAACGTATTGGAACTCAAGCCGCCGCTGCAGCGACTGGAAACGTCGCCTCCAAGTTTTGGCATGTCGCCGCTGCCGCGACGCAAGTTGGCGGCGGTGCGGATGCCGCCACGAAGCCATAGCCATATGGCGCTGATGGCACCACTCGCCGCAGCCGGCGGCGGTAGCTGCAGCGGCGAGTGGTCCTTGCGTACGGCGCAGTGGCGTCGCCGTCCCCCGCCGGTCGCCTCCGTGTCAGAATCTGAGGCCGTACCCGACGGCAGCTGCGGCGGCGACGGCAGCGGTGGTGATGGCGGCCGCTGCGATCGTGGTCGTACCGCCGGCGGCAGTGGCGGCGGCGGCAGCGGCCTGGGATTGTTCCGCTTGTCATTTCCAGGACTGTTGGTGGCGGCGGCGGCACGGGCTGCGGCCGTGGCGGCCGGAGCTGCATTGCCGGTGGCGTCATGGGGTCAGCGAACGACACCGCCGGCAACATCGCTGCAGCCGCCGCCGCGCGCAGGTCTAGGCCGCGGCTCGCTTCCGCGGAGGTTGTTACCGGCGGCGGCGGCAGGAATGTACGGCGCTGCGGCGGCAGCGTCAACGCAGGAGGGCTCTCCCAGATCGGATGCGACGCAGCGCACACGATCAGCGACAAGCGGAGGCATTGTCCTTATCGTTGGCGGCGGAGATGACGCTGACGGCGGCGATGCCGGCGGCAGGTCACCCGTTACCGTACAACCCCGTCACGTGGTTATGACGCCGCCGCGGCGGCGGACTTCCGGCAACGGTGTTGGGGATGTCAGTTGCGACAATGCCGAGCCAAGTGCCGGGATCACGCCAGTCCTGCTGCCGCTGGAGGGTACGGCAGCGGCGTCGCCGCTGCCACCGCAGCGGTCCGTACTTGCGCTGGCTCTGACTTTGCGGTCTCGACGGTCCTCTTTGGGGCCCTACGAACCTCCAACTACGTCGCGGGGTTGGATCGCGGAGGCTGCGGCAACAGCGGCGACGGCAAGGGCGGCAACGTCGCCAGGACTGTTGCCGCCGCCGAACAGATGCACCGGGCCGCCGTCGGCGCTGCCGTACGAGCGCGGCAACGGCGGTCCTCTCAGCGGCGGCGGCCTTAGCGTCTGCTCCGACGCAGCCCTTAGCGCCTGCTCCAGTCACAGCGTCCCAACGGTTGGTCTGGCGGCTGCAGCGGCGGCTGCGGCGGTGGCCGAGGCCGAGGTGGTGGCGGCGGAGTCGCCGCCACCGCGGCTGTCACCGCCGCTGCTTCCAGGCCCGCCGGCCCCCGGCAAAACCCTGGGCCAGGTGTTATCTGAGCTGAGGCAACCTGGCGCTTCCGGACACGGAGCCTGCGGAAGCGGCCGGCGTTCGCTCATTTTCAGGTACGACGGCCCCATATCGTGTTATTCGTACTGTTGTAGTGTCGTACCTTCTATGCCTATGGCCCGCTAGCACCACAGTCAGGAGGTAACTGCATTTATCCCATAAAACCCTCCGTCATCATCCCTCTAAAAAAATTAAAATCCGATTTCTCCTTTCAACATGTAAACGCCAACCGCCCACTAATTTTCAACCGTCAACTACCAACTAAACACAGAGGCCTCCGCGTGCGCGTGGGCATCCACACCGGGGTGTACAGCGAGGCGGAGATGCAGTACAACCCCGCCGCTGCGCGGATTGTGTACGGCGGGCCGTGCGTGGCGGCATGCAAGGCGGTGGCGGACATGGCACACGGCGGGCAGGTGTTCCTTAGCGGGTCGGCCCGGGCTGGATTGGAGGCCGCTGTCCACCACCACAACGGGGGCCGGCAGGGGGGTACGCTGGTAAGTGAGTTTGGGGCGGTGGGGCTGGTGGTGGCTGTTGCGGGGGTTGGGGGTTGGGGGGATTTTGAGCGCCCGAGCAGGAAACAGAACAGATCGAGATCCGGATTCAGTTCCACTTCTAGGTCCAGATCCAGGTTCAGATCCAGGTTCAAATCCAGATCCAGGTCCATATCCTCATCTCAACAACCCAGATCGGCTTCAACTGATCCAGGACAGGGAAAGTTATCCGACGACCCACATCGGATCGACTGATGCGTCAGGCCCAGGACGTCGCCGACCCAGATCAGTAAAATTTGACCGGATCCAGATCTTATTTCGAGGACCACCCATATCGGATCCTGAAGTTCCGAGCGCGCAGAGCGGTCGCCTACCTTTAGGTAACCCGTCTCCAAAGCCACTAGTAGATCTCTAGGCAGGCAGTTAAGTGGCGGCAGCCGCGGGGCGTTACCTTTTGCGTACGACAACGCGTTAAGATTACGCTAGGCCCCAGCTTTGGGGTTTTTTACTCGTTACTTGTCGCTCGTTACTTGTCGCTCGTCACGTGTCGCTCGTTACTTGTCGCTCGTTACTTGTCGCTCGTCACTTGTCGCTCGTTACTTGTCGCTCGTTATTTGCGCGAACTGAACTGAATGGCCACCACTGGCACGAAGGCCATTGACGGTGTCGGCCGCTGCCGCTGCCCTGGATACCTGGGCCTTATACGCACGCGTGCAAGGCCGATGTCGTACAACCTCCAGATAATTTTTTGGCGTCCTGCAGATGCTGCATATGGGAACGTTCGTGAAGGGACGGCCGGCGGTGACGTCATCCTCGGCGGCGCCGTCGGCTGTAGCTGCGGTAGCCGCCGCGCTCTCCCTGCCCGGCGTGGCCTCCGACGGCGCGCTTGATGCGCTGGTTGTACGGCACCACTCTCGACCGTCCTGCCATAACTCCGCCACGGAGGCCGCCGCCGGATCGGCGGCAATGGGGGCGGCAGCGACGGTGGCATGCACACCGAACTCGTACAGCATCGCCGCCGTCGTCGGTGGCCCCCGAACGAGCTGCAGTGACGGTGGTGGCGGCGGCTGCGACTTAGTACGACCCTCGAGAGTGGAGCAGCTGCCGTCCGCGTCGGCGCCGCGACCGCCGGCGCCGCCAGCTGCGGCGCCGGCGCCGACGTCAGCCGCGGCGGAGATGCAAGTATACTGGGTCACGAGCGCCTCTTTGGCTCAGCGTCTGGCGATCGTACCGCCGCCGCGGGTGCCCTCCGACCTCATCGCCCTGAATGACGTGTACGACGCGCCGGTCGGCCGCGTGTCGTACGTCGTCGTACAAGTGCCTGCGGCAGCAACGCTGCTGGCGTGGGACGAGCGTGTTGCGGAAGAGGCACTTCGGCTGTTCCACGACACGGCGCAGGCGCAGCTGAAAACGGTCCAGGGGGGTTACATGGTACGTACGTCAGCCTCTCCCTGCCGTACACTCCCTTCTCGCAGGTGTCATGTACGGTATCACGAACGGCATCATGTACGACGTCATGCACGCACCCATGTGTTTTATTCAAATAAGAGGACCTATTCCCCCTTCCCCCCGCAGTCAAGCCCGCACCCGGGGGAGCTCTACGCGGCCTTCACCTCCGCTGTCTCTGCGGTTCGTTGGGCGGAGGGGCTCAGGTCGCAACTGCTGGAGGCGGCCTGGCCGGAGGTAGGCGGCCGGGTGGTGGTGGTGGTGGTGGTAGGTGGTGGTAAGTGGGTGGCGTTAATGGGCGTTTTGCCCTCCCCCACATATGGTCCCGTACCTAGGCAGGTTGGGGCGCGAGTGTGGCGGCCTGTTGGGGGTGGCGGGGTGACGCGGGGAGAGGAGGAGAACGTCCTTTCTGGCCCCAACCCCACACCCCCACTTGGTCTCCCCCCCCGCCCCCCCCGCCTCGTCCCGTCCAGCCCCGCCCCACCCCACTCCCTGTAGCTGCTGTGTTTCTCGCACGTATTGGATCACGGGGACCCTCGGCCAATATTGTTAGCATTAGGGGGGTTCTCCCCCTTCCCCCTGCGCCAGGCCTGGTCTTCGGCCTTCGTGTTTGGTGCTGCGTGGAAATCGCGGCAGTTGACCCAGTCGAGTTGCTTCTTTTGCATGTACTCATGACTCGTGCGTCCTGCTCCTTCCCCCCTCCCGGTCACATAAAGGAGCTGCTCTCACACGAGCTCTGCGAGCCAGTGGAGGTCACAGATTCGGATTCGGATTCGGATTCCTCGTCAGAATCCGGATCTGGATCCAGATCCGGAGACAACAGCTCAGTGGCCGAGATCCGGAATCGGAGCAGTGCACCCAGCGGCGCAATAGCCAACGCAGCCGCTGGCGGCAGTAGCGCAGGAAGCCGGCCAGCAGCGGTAGCGGCGGCGGCGGCCCCCCCGCCGCCGCTGGCCTCCAAAGCAAAGTCATGGCGGAGTCGCATCAGTGGCGCTTTGAGTGCTGCTAGCAGCCCCCATCACCATCACCACCACCAACACCACCACCACCACGGCGACCAACAGCATTACCATGGAATTCACCATCACAATGATCAACACCACCATCACAACGATCACAACCACCACCACCACGACCATCATCACCATCACCATCACCGATTGATTTTCGGTGGTTTACCCCTATCTGGCGGCTGGAACCTCGCCTCTCAACCCGCCGCTGGCAGTCTAGCGGCCTGGATCTCTTCCAGGCTCAGTCATACGCGCCGTTCAGCTTCCGCCTCCACGTTTGATGCCGCGGTGTCGCCGCTGCGACGGCACCTTGCCGGATATTGCTCGCCGCCCGGCACCCCGACTGCCGCCGCCAGTGCGGTGGCTGCTGCTGCGACGGCTGCGGAGCCTGCGGGCAGCGCGTCTTGTCAAACCATCACGGCAGCGGCGGCGGTGGCGGCAGCGGCGGCTGCAGTACCGATGCCGATGGCGGACAGTACGGCGCCGGCCCTCAGCAGCACCTCGGGAGCATTCCCGCATGTGCCGTCAAGGTTTTGCCTCATGCATCGGAGCCGACGCGCCGGCTCCGCAACACCGTCGTACGTGCCACGCCGCGCCGCCACCGGCGGCCCTTCTGCATACGGTGTGGTGTCTATCGCCGTCATGGCGGCGACAGCAGCGAATGGCAGCGGCGGGGGCAGCGGCGGCGTCGCCGCCGCCAGCGCTGCCGCCACTACCGCCCCGTCGTACAGCCATCGGTCGTGCGGCGTGCTGCAGCAACAGCACCGTGGACGGGCGTTGTCGCCCTTCCGGGGGTCTGGCGACGGTGGCGACGGTGATGATGATATCTCCTCGTACGGCATTGGCGTCGGCATCGGCCGCGGCGGTGCGCCGTACGGCAGCCTTCGGCAGACGCTATCGGAGGCCCATGCGCTTTCGTGCCTGCAGCGGGCGTCCTCAGGTGAGTACGGCGGTTCACCTTCAGGCTCATCAGCTCGGCCTAGCTTACAGCGTGTAACCGAGGGCCTCCCTGGCGCTGCCGGCGCCACTGATGCCGACGGCGACGGCGACGGCTGCGGCGATGGCGTCATCAATGATGCAAATAAGGGCTCGGCGGCCGCAGCGGCGGCGGCGGCGGCGGCGGCGGGTGCCTTGACGGGACCGGCGACGGCTGAGGCCAACACATCCGCCGGCGGAGCAGTCCTCACAAGCGGATGTGACATATCGTACGGCATGGCACACGCGCGCCCCGTCGTCATACCGTACGGCGGCCTGACCTCTGCCGCTATGGCGGACTCCTCGCCGTTGCTGCTGCTACAGGTACGTAGGTGCTTAAGTGTCGGCAAGCAGCGGCTCAGCTGGGCTGGCTCTAACTACCAGCAGTACGGCGACCCCGATACGGCAACGGTAACAACTATGCAACATCCATTTTCCCCTGTGTGTATGTCTGCTTCCCGCGCAGAGTGCGGATCTTCCCGTTGAGAGCGCGACGGAAGAAGCTGCTGCCACGTCCACGGATGCGCAGATGCTACTGCCCATTTCGTCGTGTCCAACTGACAACGGTGACGAAGCGACGGTTAGCTACAGCAACCGTTACAACAACGGCCAGCGTGATTGCCGTTGTAGCGGCCAAAGCCGCGCCCAGGATTTGCAGGCCTCCACGTCCCTCAGCCAGGGCAGCATTCGGCAAGCCCTACCCCTCTTCCGCGGCGCGTGTGGGTTGTACTGCAGCGGTGGCGGCGCCGGTGGCGGTGATGGCATGGCAGCCTCCTCTGCTCGGTGCTTTTGTAGCTCTTCTCTGAACGTGGAACTCCGCAACGGCGGCTCCGCCAGCGGCTGTCAGTTTTCCTCGGATGTGGGGGACTTCCTGTCGTACACTCACCATAACTACCCGTGCCGTCGCCATCGCTGTTCGCCCGCCAGCACGTCCCCGCTGCCACCGAGTGCAAGCTGCAGCAGGCTGGAAGAGGGTTATGCCGGCAGCGTCGCCGCTGGTGGCGGCGGCGGGGCGCCCGCGGTCGCCGCGGCAGCGGCAGCGGAGGCGGAAGTGGAAGCGGAGGCGGAGGCGTTGGACGAAATCCTTCCGCAGCGCGTGCCGCCGCGAGGCTTGCCTTGCGAGCCCAGCGACGGCGGTACTGGATGCAGCGGCGCAGGTGGCGGCGGCGGCGGCGGCGGCGGCGCCACCAGCTGTCTTGGCGCCGCTGGCGTCGCCGCCAGCGGCAGCGCGCAGGCTGGGACGCGGCGCTCCAAGCGGCTGCTGCTTCGCGGCTTGAGGTGCGCTTCCTTCCGCCGAACCTGTACGGCTACGGCACCCCCACATTGGGTGGTCTCCGAGGGCCAAGCCATTTATTCCACACACACCAACTCCCGCGCACACGTCACCAACTCCATACACTTCTCATGCTGCTCACATTTCTCTCTCTTTCCGTACAACACTTGTTTTCTGTGTCTTGCAGAATGCGTGCAGGCGTTGCCACTGGGCTAGTCAGTTGGAGTGTTCAGGACCACACCCACGATGTGGGTTACAGCGGCAAAACTGTACGACTAGCGCTGAGGTTGGCGGGCAGCCTGGCGGCCAGCGGCCAGGTACTGTGTTGTGACGTCACGTGTGCGGAAGCGGTGGCAGCGCAGGCCGCGGCGGCGGCGGCGGCAATGGCGGCCGCGGCGCCGTCGGCCCCAGCCTCGTCGCCAGCGGTGGCGGCGGCGGCGGCAGCGTGTGCTTATGAGCTGGCATCACCGCTGCAGAGGCCGGTGGTGCATCAGCAACCGCATTCATTATCGCAGCCGCCGTCGCAGCCGCCGTCGCCATTGCTTCAGCATCAGCTGGTGCCGCGGCCACAGCCGCCGGAGCAGCCGTACAGCAGCAGGCAAAGCTGCTTAGCAACTGGCAGCGGCGTCTCGTCCTCGTCGTCACCTTCAATAAAGCCGCTGTGGCAACAGCAACACCAGCAGCGGCAGCAACAGCAACAGCAACAGCAGCAATCGCAAGTCATCGCCTGTGACACGAACAGCTGGGGACAGAGCAATGGCAACACTCTTGCCGCCGCTACCGCCGCTACCGCCACTCGTACATCTGCACCGGCAGCTGCGGATGCGGCTGCGTGTGTGGCCACCGACGACCTGGCGGCCTTAACTCAGCTGGTGGCGTTCTCTCCGCTACTGCCGCTACACCACCACCACCACCACCACCACCACGGCGGCGGCGGCGGCGGCGGCGGCGGCGGCCTACTGAGAGCTCACCATCCGCACTCCCGGAGGGGAAAGTGCCATGTGTTCGTCTGCAGGTGTGTATGTATGTATGTTGTTACAGGGTGGTATAGCTTCACCAGCGGCCCCCTTTCCCTTGGAGGCAGTTCCCTGCTCTCCCCTGCTAGAGGGGCACCCTAATCCATTCACCCCATCCGACCTCAGAATGTATTCGCTGGGTTCAGCAACTCACCACCAGCATCCAACCAAATCTAGCGGATTATCGGCGCCTCAACTTAGTTCCTGGTCAGCTCGCAAGTTGCTATAATCACGTCCTACACCGTCCATAAGATGGGGGGCCACCTCCCATTTCATCACCTCTCATACACCAGAGAAGTCGGCAGGCGGATCTGAACCCTGCCAGCCGCCTGCCTTTATGTATGTATATATGTGTATATGTGTGTAGGCGGATAGAGGTTTTATGATCCTGTTGGTCCTCTGCTGGGTTCTCATGGACTTTACTTTTTAGTCTGTTGAGGGGACTGAGTCCAATCGCTTCCGCCGCTCAGTTAGATCTCTTGTAGAACATGCCGCCGCGTTGCATGCTTTCCATGCGCGCGCACACACATACACACACATACACATACATACATATACATACACATACATACACATACATACATATACATACACACACATACACATACATACATATACATACACATACATACACATACATACACATACATACACATACACACATACATACACATACACACGCGGCCTCACTAACACACTGGCCTAGGGCGGGGACCCTCTGGCCCGGGGAAAAAGCTTTGACGGGGGAAGGGGGACCCCGCAGCGTGTGTGTATCAATTTGTACTTCAGCGTGCTGACTCATGCCGCTGGACGTACTGCAGTTCTTACCATCCGCGGAAGCCTGGCGCTGATGCAATTAGGCGGCGGTTCGCTGCTGCCGTCGGCTGGCTTCCGCCGCCGCCGCCGCCGGCGCTGGACAGCAGTGCCCCCATGGCGGTCGACCGGAGGAGTGGCGGGTACGGGGAGCTGTCGCCGCCACTGTTGTCGTCGCCGTCGCCGTCGCCACCACCTTACCCTGCACCGTACGGCTCCCCGCTGTCGCCGTCGCCGGCGCCGACGCCGCAGCACCAGCAGCAACCGTGTCAATATCCGCCGTATATGTACCCGTACATGTGCGCGCACCAGAACCCGCTGTCGCCGCCGCTGTCCTGTGGCAGCACGACGGCGACGACGGCGGCGGCGGCGGCGGCGGCGGCAGTATCGCCGACGCCGTCGAGGCCATTACGCACCTACGACCTCTTCAATGCTTCCCGGCCGAGCGGCCCCCCTGGAGCTCATGTCGCGCCCTGGCCAGCGCCATCACAGCCCTCGACCGCAGGCCCATCGTCGGGCCAGCTAGCTCGCTGTGCTTTTGGCATCCGTAGCATAGCCGGTGGTGGCGACGGCGGCGACGGCGGCGGCGGCTGCAAGCGAGCTGAGGACATGGCCGGGCGTTGGGGCTGCTCCTCGCTCATGCCGTATACTGGCGGCAGCGCCGCCCGTAGCGCCGCCAGTCTGCCGCTTCCCAGGGTTTCGGAGCTGTCCTTCGGGAACCGGGAGGGGGATGGTGAAGCGGCGGCGCCGCCGCCGCCACCGCAGCAGCACCTCTGCGGCGACAGCGATGGCGAGAACAGCAAGGGCGTCCTGTCGTACTACCCAGCGGCTCCGGAAGCCCTTTCGAAGGGACAAGATTGCGCCGCGGGGGGGCACGTCTCGGGGCGCACCGCCGCCACCGCCGCCGCCGTGACCGGCCGCGGCGGCGGCGGCGACGGCGGCGGCGGCGACGGCTTGGAAGCTGGAGTGCACGTCGACGGCGGCCTTCCAGCTGCGATTGCGAGCCTCGTGGGCTGCACCGGCCACAGCGCCGGGAGCGGTGCCGGCGGCGCCTCTAGAGCCTTGCACAGGGCCGGCCTGACACGGGACACCGGCGTCTGCAAGCCAGCCCCGGTACCAGCGTCAGTGCTGGCGTCGGTGCCTCCGCGGCAGCGCACATCTCCCGGAATTGTCCCGGGAACGCCTGCCGCTGCGCCATCGACGGCGCCGCCGCCGGACGCGGCGTCTGCGGACGAATTGTGGTCCCGCCATTGTTGGTCGCGCCTGCCCAGGAAGCCCTCCTGTTCCGCTGCGACATCGTACGGCGCGACTCAGGACTTTACGGCCGTATCCGCCGCTACCTCCGGGGGCCCCAGCGACACCCGGGATGCCATTTCCCACACGCCGTACATTCACAACCTTCAGCAACAGCGCGAGGTTCCGCTGCTGGCGCCGCCGCCGCCGCCGCCGCCGCCGCTGCGCCAGCTGGGGGCTTGGCAGGCGCAGCAAGAGCAACTTTGTGACAGCAGGCCCCGCTCGCACGGCGGCGGCGGCGGCGACGGCCGGGGCGGCGGCGGCGCCAGCGGACTTGAGGAGGAGGAGGCGGAGGAGGAGGAGCACAGCTTGTCGTTTGCCGCGTTGCATTTTCGCGAGGCTTGGGGTGGCAGCACCTGCCTGGGCGGTATCTGGCGTACGGCCGGCGGCGGCGGCGGCGGCTCCGCAGCCGCCGCCACCTCGGCCACTGCCAACGGAGACGCAGCTGGATACGGAGACAGCAATGGTAACGGTGACAGTCATGGCATGTACGGAACACCCGACAGTGCTGGTGCGAGTGACAGTGGCGACGGCAGCGGCAGTGGCGGAAAAAGTCTGCCGCTCGAACATCACGACCCGACGTCTCTTGCAAGCTGGCAGCGGAACCCGTCGACGGCCGTCCTCTCAGCGACGCCGCCGCCGCCGCCGCCGCCGCGGCTACCGCTGCCGCCGTCGCCGCGACCCGTGGTGCGCGAGTCTCCCAAGGGGTGCCCTGGACGGCTGTGTACGGCGGATGACCAGTTGCCGCGGCTGCCCCGCGCCATGACGGTGCAGGAGCCTGGCGGCGAGGAGTGCCGTACAGGGGCTGGAATATGTGGAGGTCCGCTGGTGAGGTACCTGACGGAGCCGGTGGGCTGCCGCTACACTCCACCGCCGCCGCCACCGCCACCGCCACCGCCGCCGCCGCCACACCACCAACACCAACACCATCACCACAATCAACAGCAACAGCAGCAGTTGCGACAGCAGCAGTCGCAGGGTGGTGTAAGGATGCTGGGTGCTGGTGGTACGGATAGCAGTGCAACTCAGAAGGAGGCGACGGCCAGCGGGTCGTCAAGGCAGGCTGACAGCAAAGGCGGCGCCGACGGCGGCGGTCGAGATGCTGACGGCGTCGGTGGTGCCACCAGCGGCCTCAGCGGCAGCCCGTACTGGACAGGAGAGTTGGATGAGTACGGCAACATCAGCAATGGCAACGGCGGAGGCCATTGCGGTCGTGGCGGCGATGGTGGCGATGGTGGCCAGTACTTTGGGTGTTTAGAACCGCCGCCCTCTGAGCCCTCTGAGCAGTCTGAGCGGTCTGAGGCCGCTGAGGCCGTTGAGGCCGTTGAGGCCGTTGAGGCGGGTCAGCGCCTGCGCCGGCAGGTGACATCGTTTTGGCAGCAAGCCGGCGGCGACGGCGACGCCAACGACGGCCACGATGGCGACGGAGGTTTCGTCGTCGGCGGCGGCGGCAGACGTAGCGGCAACAGCGACGGTGGTACGGGTGAGTTGTCCTTTCTTCCAGTCCCGCTGCCGATGCCGCCGCCGATGCCGCTTTGCCGTACAGTGCCGCTGCCACAGACGAGATCGTGTACGGCACTGGATCCGGATGCATGCTTAGAGGACGGCACGGCCGGGGTTGTAAACCTGAGACGCCAGATGGGCACCAGAGGCCTTATGGGGAGCCGAGAGTGGCGGGTCGCTCAGATCGTCTCGGGCGGTTTTTTATCGGTTGGAGAGCCGGTTGGTGGTTGCAACGGCGGCGTTGAAGTAGGCGTTGGGTCAGATGCTGGGGCCGGTGTGATCGGCTCCACAACCACCATCACAGAGTTTAGTTTGCTGGCGGCGGCGGACGGCTGTAGCAGCATCGCCGGATCGCCCTCCGGATCACAGCAGCAGCAGCAGCAGCAGCAGCAGTTGCTACAGCTGCTACAGCAGCGGAGAGCCTCCACGACGGAGTCGGCGGTGGAGGTGACGGCTCGAATGCTCATCTCGCCGTCCTTGTGGGAGCAGGAGCGGACCGAAAACAGCAACACGCACCCGCTGCAGTAGCTGCAGTAGCTGCAGTAGCTGCAGTAGCTGCAGTAGCTGCAGTAGCCGCAGAGTAACCACAATATCCTGACCGCTGCAATAACCGCTACAACAGCCTCGGCTGCGGCTGTAGCCACAGCCGCGCAGTAGCCACAGATTGAATTCTGGGGGGGAGAGGTGCTTCCTGAGGAAGAGGCCGCGCGGCAGGCATGTACGTACATATTAGCTCGCGTGCATAGGGAAAGGGAAGGAAGGGGAAGAGGAAGGGGATCTTGCCAACCGAAGCCTGTCCGTGAGCGTATGTAGAGCCGGGTGGGGGTGGGAGGTTGGGTGGGGCGTTTAGATGTCACGTGCACGGGGCATGGAAATTTGGTTTTGGGCAAGCAGGCCCTATGTTTTCAGTTACTTATGGGTATTCTATTTATAAGAACCATCTGATCTGAACTGTTGGTGGCCTCTTGAAGGGCGTATTGCTCTCATTAATAAGCAGCGACAGACGACAGCTGAGCTCAACTGCATGCGACATCTGTCTTTGAGACTCGGGCATTTCGGGGTGCGTGCTACTGCTAGTGCTACTGCTGCTACTGCTGCTACTGCTGCTGTTGCTGCTTTGCTGCTGCTGTTGGTACTACTGCCACTTCTGCCTTTAGGCGGGCAGCGCAGCGCAGGTAGGGCAGTACGGGGGGCCTTAACTTTTGAAAATGAAGATGGCCATGGGCGGGAGAGCCTGGCGCAGTTGGATACCCCCCGCCCCGGGGAAAGAAAGAAAGAGAGAGAGAGAGAGAGGGAGAGAAGGGTTCTCAGCAAATTGAACACATTGACACAGACGCACATATGCGACGTGGTACGACTTCTACTGCCAGCTTTATTTCCAGCCGGCCCGTGTGGTGATCACATTCAGCAAGTGTTTTTAGGAGTGCCGGTACTGGCCCGGGTGGCCCATGGACCAATTTCTGGCTGGCGCGCATTAGCCCTCCACCACGAGGGCAGCCATTTGCCCAAGTGGTCGATCTGAGAAATGCCAGCGAGGCAGAGAGGCTATGGCGTGTCGAAACTTGTCGAGGCCTCATTGGGCCTCATTCCAAGCTACTCAAAAAGAGGTGAGAGAGAGAGAGGTGAGAGAGAGAGGTGAGAAAGGGAGGTGAGAGAGAGGTGAGAGAGAGAGGTGAGAGAGAGAGAGGTGAGAGAGGGAGGGAGAGAGGCGAGTGTGTGCGATTGCACGTATTGGTAAAAAATGCGAGATGTGATGCTGGCCCCTGGTGTTGGTGTTGGTGTTGGTGTTGGTGTTGGTGTTGGTGTTGGTGTTGGTGTTGGTGTTGGTGTTGGTGTTGGTGTTGGTGTTGGTGTTGGTGTTGGTGTTGGTGTTGGTGTTGGTGTTGGTGTTGGTGTTGGTGTTGGTGTTGGTGTTGGTGTTGGTGTTGGTGTTGGTGTTGGTGTTGGTGTTGGTGTTGGTGTTGGTGTTGGTGTTGGTGTTGGTGTTGGTGTTGGTGTTGGTGTTGGTGTTGGTGTTGGTGTTGGTGTTGGTGTTGGTGTTGGTGTTGGTGTTGGTGTTGGTGTTGGTGTTGGTGTTGGTGTTGGTGTTGGTGTTGGTGTTGGTGTTGGTGTTGGTGGATGCCCCAGGGACCCGAAGCGTACCGATAAGCAACCTCCTCTCTGTATCCACTGTGTGTCCAACCTTCTCTGCGCCCAAGCCCCGGTCAGGAAAGGTTGGCACTGGAGCACACGTGGGCGGGTGAGGTACGACAGGCGCAGGTGCGGTGACTCATCCATTAGTGAGCCACCACATTGGGGAACGTGCGTGTGTGTGTGTGTGTGTGTGCTACACCTCCTGAAGTTGTGTTACCCTCCGAAAGTGTAACCTGGGGGGCCATTGGTGAAGAAATGGTCAGGAAGGGCGGCAGTAAGCCTGCACGCCAAGAGGAGGATGGAGCACGGGCGGGGTGGAGCAGGAGGCGGCGGCGGGCGGGGCCCCTCTAGCCCTGTCTCTCCGGCACGGTTGGGAAGGGTCATATGTGTACACCTATATGTATGTACGTATGTACCCGCGGGCGCCTGCGTGCCATCGAATGTATGTATCATTACTTCCGAGGTAGCGGTGGCGGCGGCAACGGTGGCAGCTAGCGGCAGTGCCGGCCTGGGGAGTCGATATCGCACATGACGTCCATGCAGGACAGCGCTTCCTAGCTCGGGGCTTACACGCCCCCCACGAAGCACACAGATATACATACAGACACACGAACCACATTGCACCTTCCTCTGTACTGGGTACCTTCTTGAACTCACATCGCGTCACAGGTGATGCTTCTTCTTCTTAAATAGGACATATTCACACACACACACACAAACACATACGTTGATGGACCCTGAGCGAGTCCCGGCCTTAAAGTTGCGTGGACACTTTGCTTGTTGTTATCTGTTGCCGTACGCGACATCCTAACCCTAGTTGCCGTCGACGAAGGCTAGGAGGGACCCCTGACGAAGGCTTTATTGAGACACCATTTGTTTTAGATCGCCACCATTCTGTGTCCGTTATTTATTGCAAAAACCTGCACTTATTATTAGGTTTGAACTACCCTAGGGTTCTCTACCCCATATTCCTTGTTCAGCTATCCCTACTTACTTGTGCGTGTGTGGGTACAGGTATTTATCAGTTGACCGGCATGCGACGCGCCCGTAATCCTGGAGATCACAACACAACAGTTCTTTGCCTGCTAAGTGAGTGTGTGTGGTGGTTACAGTGGGCTCCATGCGCACGAAGAGTAGAGCCAGCGGGCCAGGCTGGCCGTGCATTATTTCTGCACTAGAGACGAACCTAGCTGATCATCTATTGAGGACCCTGCCGCATCGGACCATTGTTGCGGCTGTATCTTGAACTGAGAGGAAGGCTGCTAATGCTGCTAACAGCACCTTTCTTGCGTTATCAGTACCATCGCTGCGGGATGACGTACATAGCTCATCATTTTACGACACTTGCCACGCTTCATCCCCCCCAGACAATTGTTTCCATGTCAACACTCTGTCCAAGAGGTTATATTAATCTGATGATTTTGGCTGCCAGTGATCAGGCCTGCACGCTTGTAATTGCGTGCCCCGAGCAAGGCGCGTTAGGTTGTTGTTGTTGTCGCTGCCCTTGGCCCGCCCTGACGGAATAAAAACTTGGATCACGCAGGACTTCGCCCAAATTGAAAACCCCGGTTATGCAGTGGTCATCGGATAGCTGTGAAGTAGCTGATTAAGTTATAATTAGTAATTTGCGTAGATCGCCACTTAAGCGTGGGGTGTGTCGTAGCTGGGAGCCTTTAAGGAAAAAAAGTTGCAAAACATGAAGCCTAAACAGGCAGGTGACTAGCTGGCCAGCCCGTTGAGGCCGAAGAGTGCATATGCTGTTACGGGGCATTATGAAGATACTGACCCCTCTGCGCGGTTTGCCGTTTGCCAGACAAGCTGCAAACATGCACAGCAAGTCCTGCAGCAGGACTGGATTTTGTTGACGAGTTGCCAGCCACCTCCACCTGCGGCCGCAGGTACGGCTCGAGGGCCCATACTTGCTGCATGCCAGGGCCACAGCCGACACCTTGGCGTACTCAACAGGTACTTGGCACCGCTGATATGCCCCATGTACGGGAGTCCACAACCCAAACGATTCCTCACAGGCTACCCAATCCAGCAGCGACTTTGTAGCACCATGACCCACACGGCTAAAAAAGCCGCTCAAAGCGGACAGGTGGGAAACTTGGCGGCAGCCGGCCCATCACCGCCGCCGCAATCTTGGTACCGGGGCAACCATCACACCACCCTATAGCTGAGCACGTCCTTAGGCGTGCAGGTCCACCATGCTCGCCCACGGCCATGGCTAACAACTCAAAACCAAAACGCAGCCGCAGCGGCAGCCGCAGCCTGAGGGGAGTAAACGCCCCTGAGAGCCACTGGTTAGCCTAGGCCCCTGACCCCTGACCCCTGCTGGCAGGCGGTCCCCAGGCCAGCGTTGGGAACCAGTGCATGGTGCAGGTCGCGGCACCTACAGCCACCACAGAGCCGTAGAACCAACAGAGAGAGACAGAAAGACGGAATGTTGCAAGCATTTGCTAAACTTCAAACATTACGAGGACAGTATGGAAAGGAGGAATGTCGCCCAAGAGGAAAGCGAGACAGCTGGAGGAGAAGAGCGTGGTCTAACGTACACCAAGTTTGCTGGATATGAATGACATGCTATGCGGCTTCAGCGGCTTCAGTTACACGTGATGAAAGATTCTCTGGTCCGTTATGTAACAAGCCACACATGAACAAAGGACGCTGCAATCAACAGGCAAGCGTCCACAAAGTATATAAAAGACAAGTAGTTGAATAATCAAAACTTTAAAGAACACAATTTAAGATTCTCAGGGTCAGTAGAAAATTAGTAAGGGTTTTTCTTCTCAGATTAGTACCTCCAGCCGGCTGTGTCCCTAATCATGTCTCACGCACCCAAGCTATCCTGACAAAGATCTATCTAATAGCAGTTAAACAGGAACTGGCAATCCTTGCGAAGTACCGGTAGTCCTGCCCTAAAGAATCTGACAGCGCTTCAACCACGCCACAGCTAATCAGGCACGCCATTTATTAGTTCAGGCTCAAAGGCATGCGATGTGCGCAAGACGACCAGGTGCTACATTTAAGCGGAGGGGGTGAACTTGGTGGCGTAGGCGAAGGCGTTGACGGCGCTGGGGTTGGCGAGGTGGTCAGACAGGTTCTCGATGGGGCCCTTGCCGGTCACAATGGCCTGCACGAAGAAGCCGAACATGGAGAACATGGCCAGGCGGCCGTTCTTGATCTCCTTGACCTTGAGCTCGGCGAAGGTGTCCGGGTCGTCCGCCAGGCCCAGCGGGTCGAAGGCGCCACCGGGGTGCAGCGGGTCCAGGCCCTCACCCAGCGGGCCGCCGTTGGCGCGGTAGGCCTCAGCCAGGCCCATCACGACAACCTGCGGGGATGAGGCGGACGGGACCCAGGCGAACTGAGAATTGGGCACAGTAATAGATTTACAGAGCGTGTGATGATCAATTGCCATGACCTATTTTACGTCTGCTGTGGACGTTGCTCTTCATATAGTGGTTTAGGGACCTGCAGCAAAGATGAGTGACGTCACAAATACCCAACGGAGGCGCTGCTAGTTTATAGGGCTGGATAAAAAGGTTCACTCGAACCAAGGCCTTCATCTTCCCGCACCTATCATCTACTTTTTTTACTTCCATCCTACCTGGAAGGCCAGGGTGGCAATGATGGACTGCGCGTGCACCAGGTTCTCATTGCCCAGGTAGTTCAGCCCGCCCTCAGCGAAGATCTGGGCGCCGGCCTTGAACCAGACAGCCTCGCCGAACGAGACGCCCGCGTACTTGGACAGCAGCTCGGGGGTCACGCAGCCCAGAGCGCCCAGCATGGCCCAGCGCGCATGGATGAGCTCCAGCTCGCGGTAGCGCTTGAAGGTCTCCGGGTCAGCGGACAGGCCGGCAGTGTCCCAGCCGTAGTCGCCGGGGAACTCGCCGGTGAGGTAGGCAGGGGTATCGCCCTCAGAGAAGGGGCCTGAGGGAGCGAAGGAACGGAGGAGGCAAGTCAGCACCGGCCTAGTGACGTCGTCATGGCGTCCAGAATACGGAAAGCACGGAGGGGAAACCGAGGGTGAATCATAGCACAGGTAACTGGTGTCTATCCATGTCGTGAACTTATCCCTCCCATCTCACCCAGGAACTTGGGCCGGTCAGGACCATACCACTCAATGGCAGCGCGAGGCACCACGCGAGCAGCCTACGGCATAGAGGGAAGGGAGGCAGCGCATCGTTAAAGGTGCTGGGGGTGGGTGAAGGTATAACGCAAATCACCAAGCTTGCGTATAGCTTGCGCTGCCCGAAAAGCCTAATAGATCTAGGAAAGAATAGGAACATCCAGTGTTATCGATTGGCCCATGTCGACCTGCGGATTCGGCGGAAAGTACTCACCCGGCTTGCGACCGTAACAGGGCGCACAGAGCTGCGGGCGGCGGACTTCACAATAGCAGCCATGTTTATATTAAGTGTATTAGGTGACACGATGAAAGTAGTAGATACGTTCACTACTTGTGTGTGCAAAATCGTGTTGGTCGATGGCCTTTTGTATGTGCGTGGTGGCCTCACATAAGGCCCAGAATCGTACGGAAAGGTGATCGCGACTGTTGCGTTACTCATGGAGCGAGATGTAGTGCATGTTGATATGATCTCGTTATGAATTTTGATCGCCAATCAGGTTACTGTATGATGTTTGTCATTACGTCTCCATGTACTCCTTTCCTGCAACTTGTCATCGTTTCAGCGTTTCGTGCCGCAACATGTCTAAACTTTGCCATCATGCATCACAGCTTATTACGGGAATGTCATTTATTCCAAAGACATGCTGCAGTTTTACTGCTGGGTGTGTCCTTTGGCGTTGCTCAAGATATGTTTGCATCTTATATGCTACCCCTCGCACATGGGGCTTTAAGCGCCCTGTGAGAGTCAGGCACCCAAGGAAATGGACGCGCCGTTTTACGATTGAACAAGGAAGCGAGGAAAGATATTTTGGGAACGTCAGCAGATCTCTGGCTTTCAACTTGCAAATAACTGCAGGATATACCGGGCCTGAACACATTACGTTGGCGCACATCACCCCTTTTTGAGGATTATATCTGGCAAATTGATTTGTTCGCGAGAGCGGTTACCGATGAGAGGTTAATTATCTGAGATGATAATCTTTTGGTATATTAGTCTCTACTGCAGTGCACGGCCAGCTGGCCCGATGGCTCTACTCTTCGGGAGTCTGGAGCCCACTGTAACAACCACACACTTGAGCGCTCTTGTAAGGTCCGACTACGCTTTATGTATCCGGGACTACCGTTAATATCTAAGAGTATCTTTCAATCCACGTATCTCTCAGCGTATTTCACAGCGCAAAACGGTTTAAGCTGCCCTTCTGAACTGGTTATCTTCATTTCCTGATACTTTTATTCAATTCCGATTCACAATATCGGTGCATTTTAAAACATCAGTTATTGATTGCTTCTGCTGCATTCTCACCACATACCTAAATGCTGTAGGTGCATCGCTGCCTTAAATAATTTGAAATATGCTCATGTATGGTGTTTTGGCCATTTTGCGTGGCATATCTTCCGCTTTCCGGTTTCGCCAATCCAATCCGAATTGTTCAACTCCTTTTGCTATGGCAAGATATCGCAAGTCCATATGCTTTTGTGCAATCTTTTCACGGTCCTCGGCTATTCTCAACAAGATTGGTATCAGGACACCGGCAATAAATGAATGGACCGTCAGCTACGGCAGCACGGCAGCTACCGTCAGCCACGGCGCGCTGTGGAAATTGTGGCAGGGTACGCCTTTGGCGTGTAATTGCGCCTGGTGGGCGGCGAGCACTTGGGAGCCTCTGCGCTTGCTGTCGTAAGGGGCTCTCTTCATGCATTTCTGTTAGCACGCGAGGTACTTTCACCTTATGTCAAACAAAGCAGCTCGCACACACCTGAACCGATATACCCATACACGTGAAGGGGGTCATTGCGCTGTTGCATGCTATTGCTGGTGTTTGCGGGAGCCTGTATCGCTCAGTGGCAGGAGAATGTCTGGCAGGCGGTGTTGCGGACAGGGACAGCAGTAGCAGCCCCACAATCCACTTTGTTTTCCAGCTTCTCATGCTGCAATTCAGGCCGTCTTTGTCACCAACTCAAGCCGTCAATCTCTGCTCTGTTTGCATGAGGAATGCGCTTTTTTGCCACCGGCGCCGGCTGGCTCCAGTCACTGGTTATTTTACCATGTTTGGGTGCAGGATATGCTCCGGTGATACTTACCCAAGGATTCCTTTGTTATGGGGATCAATCCATTCACTACTGGTGCATTCGCACACTAAGTGTTGTGCGTCGCTGTCCATGTTAAGCCACAGAAACCGTCAACACGTAGTATACTGCGGACGTGCTTGTTAGCATAATGGCAGCATACCACATTACCGCGAGCAAGCTGTGCAAGCGTGGTACGCGTGTGAATGTTTTGCAACAGGCGGCATTGAAACGCGTGTAGCAACGGGACTCATCGTTGCGTCATCATCACAAAAGCGATCAGCTGGCACAGTCTGGCACAGTCGCGGCAAACCCCGACCTTTTCTTATTGAGTTTTATAGGGACCTAGGGTTTCATTAGAAAATCCTACGCTAAAAAAGCATATAATAAGCAGCACTGAATCCACAACAATTAATTAATAGCTGACGGTGAATGTCAGTTTATGTGCTTGAACTTTACTGCCAAATCCTGATTAACTGCTTGTGTAACTCTCCAGCGTGGGGATATACCTCACTAGTTACTGTTGACGCTCAACAACAATGACCAATGACATCCTATGTTCAAACGATCTTTACCCTCATTTACCAATGGGTCATGTAGTTGGAGCTCTGTACATCATTGGAGCATTGTAAAAGAGTTACATGAATCCAGGCCACTCAATCAAATAATCAAACAGCTCTCTAAACAACTTAGACACGCTGCATGATGCACCTGCCAGAGACATATCATCTCCAATTGACAATATCGTCTCCTCCTGCACCTAACATAAAAGAATTAAAGCGTAAAACAATGACCAAAAAATATGAGCTACCTATATAACCTAGGGGCATAGTTCGCTGACAAGACCCGCCAGATATACTAACAAAACCACCGATTCGCACATTTAAGCGGAGGGGGTGAACTTGGTGGCGTAGGCGAAGGCGTTGACGGCGCTGGGGTTGGCGAGGTGGTCAGACAGGTTCTCGATGGGGCCCTTGCCGGTCACAATGGCCTGCACGAAGAAGCCGAACATGGAGAACATGGCCAGGCGGCCGTTCTTGATCTCCTTGACCTTGAGCTCGGCGAAGGTGTCCGGGTCATCCGCCAGGCCCAGCGGGTCGAAGGCGCCACCGGGGTGCAGCGGGTCCAGGCCCTCACCCAGCGGGCCGCCGTTGGCGCGGTAGGCCTCAGCCAGGCCCATCACGACAACCTGCGGGGATGAGGCGGACGGGGCATGTGCGATGAGGATAGTCGATAGCCTTCTCAACAAGCAGCGGCAATTCAAGGCACATCAGACAAAATATTCGACGCTCTTTGGGTCCGACAATCATGACAGGCACATCACCTACTTCCATCCTACCTGGAAGGCCAGGGTGGCAATGATGGACTGCGCGTGCACCAGGTTCTCATTGCCCAGGTAGTTCAGGCCGCCCTCAGCGAAGATCTGGGCACCGGCCTTGAACCAGACAGCCTCGCCGAACGAGACACCCGCGTACTTGGACAGCAGCTCGGGGGTCACGCAGCCCAGAGCGCCCAACATGGCCCAGCGCGCATGGATGAGCTCCAGCTCGCGGTAGCGCTTGAAGGTCTCCGGGTCAGCGGACAGGCCGGCAGTGTCCCAGCCGTAGTCGCCGGGGAACTCGCCAGTCAGGTAGGCAGGGGTATCGCCCTCAGAGAAGGGGCCTGAGGGAGCGAAGGAACGGAATGGGTATGCACTTAACATCGCGTCCTCAGGATGCAGAGGGAAGCAGAAGACCGCGTCCAGTCTACCACATAAACCTGATCTACAGATATTTTCGTAGATATTTCCCGAGGAGCGGGGACTACCATACCTATACTAGTGGTCCAGCACAGTGGACCAAGTCCTCTTAATAAAAATCATGCTAGCCGGCAGGACAACGGCATGCGCAGCTCACCAAGGAACTTAGGCCGGTCAGGACCATACCACTCGATGGCAGCGCGAGGAACGACGCGAGCAGCCTGCAAAGGGAAACTAAAGGCTTGTTGAACGGCATCGCAGAAGCGCAGCACATTTCAATGCATCACTCTAAAGCTGACACGGGAAGCGGATGGCAAGCGTTATGTTCCGTGAGCTCATTGTGAGCTCGACGAGACATTACGTATTACTAGTTAAATGCATTCATTGCCATAATTTCAACACGTTATTTACATATATAACTCACCCGGTTAACTACCGAGGGGCGCACCAAGCTGCGGACAGCGGATTTTGCAATAGCAGCCATTTTTCTTGTATTTAATTCTGTACGTAATGCACTTCACTTGTTATGCCTACATAGCGCTGGTTTGGGGCTTAAACTTGCTGGTTGCACTGACGCAAGGCCCAGAATCGTACGGAAAGTTGATCGGAAATTCGGAACTGCTTAGCTCTGGAGATCCGCTCTTACAGTTTAAAGCATGGCTTTTTCTTGTTAAGAATGTTTTCAGTTTTTCATTATGCTTATGTTTTGCTTACGGGCCTGAGGTTACGTACATGTCTGAGCATCAGTCATGTTGAAATGGTGAGTGTCTTGTCTGGAACTTCAAATATGTATCTCTAATTGGGGCTGACAATTTCCATTGGAAATGTTGGGCTCCCTTTCATCATGGCCAATGTATCTGACTGCTGCAATAAGTGTCGGGAGATGCGCGTCTTGCTAGTCTCGATCTTTGGGCATGCATATCCGTGTGGGTAATCTTACGTTACTTCCAGTCAACGATATGATAAGTTCACGGCCATCTTGAACACGGTGAAATAGTTGGTAAGGGATCGTCTTTTCCTGCGAGATGAGCGTTTCCAATTGCATGTGATCCAAAGAGCTAGGAGGAGGCGCTATTTTGTTTTCAGTCTGTCGGGTTGGCGTCGCGTTAACTGAGAGGACTGCCTGCGAGAAGAGGAAGAGGATTCTCAGTCTGCCTCTGCATCCCTGCGCTCCCTCCTGCCGGGTTACCACCACGATACGAAATCAAAACGTTAAAACAACGAATAGAGAACCCTTTGGCTTCAGATTTTGCTACCTGGGAGCTGGAGGCTACCTAGTTCGGTCGGTTCTCGGGACGACTTGCGAGGGTATATGTTTTACATAGCAATGCGCTACTCGATCACCTACCAGGGACTATATGCTTTGGAGTGGCCCAGCCAATACAATGCCAACGAACAGGTTTATGAGTGGAAGCTAGGCAGCGGCTCCTCAGAGACCCCAGGAACCTGAAATCTCCTGGCACATTACGAATGGCCTGGTACATTATTATAATACAAGTTACAGGTGCACACAAGTGCGGGTGTGTCCGTAAAAGCCGGGGGCCCCATGGACGTTATACAAGTATTGATACGGGTACGGGGGGTCCACGTTGCACAGACGAAAAGTTCGTCTTCTGCAGCCCGCGATGCCGAAACATCGCCTTCCTTGGAATCCACACCTTGTCACCCTCTGAAAGGACTAAAACTAAAGGACCACAGAAGCATGTGCTCCCAAAAATGATGGAATCCCATGTTTCAGTAGGTTATCCTGTACGGATGCATCGTTTTGTCAACCAGCCAGCAGGACACTGAAACACCTCTTTCTCTCCCCCACACACAACCTTATTAAGCCCATGCGCATGAAGCGGAGGCATAACCCCCTATGGGCCATCAATTGCCCAAAAGGCAGGCGAGGGTTGCCACCATCAGACATTTCACAGCCTCGGAGACCATACAGACCATACACAGCTACAGCCAACAGCACCTTATCGTTGACCCTGGACGGTGCGAGAGCAGATGTACGCAAGGTCCAGCAAGGTCCAGCAAGGCCCAGCAAGGCAACTAACCGGTCTTCCTTTACCGTCAGCGTCCCAACCATACTATCCGCCTGCCGACTCCTAGGGTGTTTGAGGAGTGTTGGATTGGGAGGTGGACCCCATCTTGTGGACGGTGTAGGACGTGATTATATCAACTTGCGAGCTGACCAGGAACTAAGTTGAGGCGCCGTTGATCCGCTAGATTTGGTTGGATGCTGGTGGTGAGTTGCTGAACCCAACGAATACACTCGGAAGTCGGATGGGGTGAACGGATTAGGGTGCCCCTCTAGCAGGGGAGAGCAAGGAACTGCCTCGGGAAAGGGGGCCGCTGGAGAAGCTATACCACCCTGTAACAGCATACTATCTGCCAGGACCTAGATCTTTAAACTCATATACCAGAAATGATGATTGCTGCCAGCGCTCTGTGCGCATGCGTGCCCGATGCGGCCTGCTACCTGTTAGGATCCCTCACGCAATTCAGCTCAGCCATACTTTTTGGAAGCAAATGCGAAGGCAGCGCGGTGAGGCACGAGTGAGTGCGTGAGTGAATGAATGAGGGATGGACGCAAGCGGCGTATGTCACTACACGGCTCGCCCCCGATGCCTCCTCAATCAACCACGTCGTGCATACACCTGAACCATGCACGTGACTGTGTGCGACGTTTGCGCGGATTTGGAGCTGTATCTGGATCTCGGCACGATTGAAAAATCTTGCCTGCTACTGCCCACGCAGCTGCCATCATCGCATCAAGTTATACCGTCCAGACCGTCTTGAAAAACAAGAAAAACAGGAAAATGCTGAACATATCGAACCGCAGCAAAAATAGTAGACACTCCTAAACATGGAGACAACGCTTTTACCCATGATGCGTGAAGAACAAGAACAAGAACAAAAAGGGGAAGTGTATCGCACGTATAACTCAGAAATGAGGACATTACTCCTTAAGGGGAAGAACTAAAGTTCCGGGATGAACTAAAGGAGAAGAAGAAGAAGGGGAACTTTAGTGTTCTTCTTCCCCCATGATGCGTGAACACGCATCGCAGGATTTGAAGGCGTTCACACGCACATACATTTACATCTCTCCATCTCTATTTTAGACACTAATAAACAAGCACTATGCAATGTCACGCCACGCAGACGCAGTTAAGCAGTTAAGGAATGTTTTTCGCATGAAGAGAAGGAAGGAGCAGAGGCTCCTCAAGCATAAAAGCAGCAAAATATTTGAAGTGTCCAACCCTAGGAACACCAGCTCGGTCAAAAGAAGACAGGAAGAAAGGAAGGATCGGAACCAGGAAAACCACTGGCTCGAATATATATACGCCTCCACATATCTGGGAAGGCAGGTTGAGGGGAATTGTTGGTCGAAGTCTCTGAGCGGTCGAATGGGGGCAGCGTCAACAGGGCCCGACGGAAAACGGGGGCAATGGAAATAGGTCGAAACAAGGTGGTGTTCGAATTGGAGGTCGCTGGAGGTTCGTCCTTCCACGGCCCACAGCCTATAGACCCTCTGCTGAAAGGCAAAAGGAAAAAAGACAGCACCAACAGGAATATGTCTTCGGAGGTAAGAACCTGGCACGGAAAGCTGTCGAGGCACGGGTCCCCCGTGTACAATGCAAAATGTCATAAGCCTGATGAAGGCAAATAGTAAGACTTAAACTAACACTAACACTAACACTAAGACTAACACTAAGACTAGTCAGAAGTGATGTGTTGCTCCAGGTAGACAAATACTGTTGGACACCCCCACGCAAGCAGCAAACGTCTGTGCCTGCAAATTTTGGCGCGGTGGCAAGATATGTACTAAGCCAACGGCCTCGCCTATCCTTGTTTACGTCCTCTGCTTGTGAATTGTCCTGGTACGACGCACTAATAGAAAGATCGTACACACATATCCATACTGCCGTAAAACTAGTGTTACCGCATCCCCTTACTAATGTTGCTGCTACGGCTAAAACATTTCTTCGTTCTCCAACCAAGCTTTGAAGAACACGAAAAACCTTATAGCTGTCACCTCAACGTTCCCACGGTTCCTCCCCAAAGTCCCATACAAACGCATGGACGTGCAACGCATCCGGCTAACCGCCTTCAGCTCGCGATTGTGCCGACATAAATACATACATACATACATAGTATATAACAGGCAATAATCGTGTTCTTTCTTCACCAAGCACTGCTGCGATCTGCCGTCTGAGCTGCCTGCTACTGACCGCCATTGATTAAGATTCAACGTCCTCACCTCCAAACGCCTCGCTGCAAGCCGTCTTGTAGCTCTTGCACCATACATGCTACTGCGCAACCAACACAACCATCCACACACACACATCATCAAAACACAACACGACACTCGCGCATGATAAAATGTGTAGGTGTATACGCGTGTACGAGTACAAATACACCTGCGTACACTGCGTCACTGTGATGCCGAACTGCATCCACTCAATTAGCACCTATGTAAGGGCTCTCGTCATTGCAGCAACTCTCGCGCGCCTGCCGTACTGTAAAGTATCCTGGAGGGTACATCACGAGACCTGCATCCACCGATAGGTTCTTTTCTATAAAAGAAATCGTGATGTAACACGTACATTTTGATTAACAACCGAGGAGCAGCTACCGCTGAGACCCTGCCTCGTCACTTCGTTGCAATGCAAAACAATCCTTGCCCCCAATCCGCCGTACCGTACGACACATAAGTCAACCCAAATACATAAGCAACCAGGTAGAACTCAGCCACGAGCCTATCACTCATCAAAACTATTTTCGCTGTAGAGCGAACCAAGGACCTTAATTAACACGGCTGCGGTGCACGACTCCTTTTCACTCGTTTTCCAAAGTTTCGCGTAGGGGCACTGCCTCACATTCGCGTCTCCGAGCAAACAAACAAATAACGAATTACAAATACCACAACCCTAATACCCCCCCTCTTCATAACAGGTAACACCCCTAGTTTTACTGCACATCCTTCCTCGGCACTTCGACTTGAACCACGTCACACAGGACACAATCAATCCCTGGAAAGATTCCTGGAAAGGTCAAAGAAAAGGACTAATGAAGGACAAAAAGGACAAAAGAACTAATAAAGGCCACCATGGGACGTGTCGCAAAATAGTCAGCTGCAGACGGCTTGGAACATGAAACCAAACAAAAGAAGGATCGATAAGTACCGGAAAAAGCTGTACTTTACTGAACACAAAACGACTTTGAGCAAGTGATGAAAATCATTTAGCTGTGTACAGCGGCCGAACTGGAACCAGCTGCAAATCAAATGAGCTTTTAAATCAATTCAGTGGAGGTGGATGACGGTTGCCTTGACGCTTTCAATTAGTGTTTTTCCTCTAAGCGCCCGGCAGTGAGTCGCGTCCTTCGCTGTGCAGCTGCAGCCGCCGCTGCCGCTGCCGCTGCCGCTGCCGCCGCTGCTGCTGCTGCTGCCGCTGCTGCCGACGTGGTCACCGACGCCGCCAGCCTTCTTTCTGCGGGTGCGCTGTTAAGTTTGTTGATAAACTCCGACAACGTACCCAGAGCAGCCTCAGCCCATTCCGCCGTGACGTGACCTTCCGCATCGCAAGTGGGCTTGGGGTTGCTCGTGCTAAAAGAAGCCGTCAGGCTGCTGCTGGCGCTGTCGTGCAATACCCCGCCGCCGCCGCCGCTGATGGAGCGCGCCCAGCAGGGGCCAGCGCTAGGACCGACGGGGCCGCCGCCGCTGCTGCGGAAGCGCTTGTACAACACGCGGTCGCCGGCAAGGCCCAGGCTCGATCCGGGACCGACACTGCTTCCGCCGCTGCTGCCGCCGCGCCGCCGCCACTCCGGCACGAAGCAGCCCGAGTCGTCAACTGATGCCGCTGGCGGCGGTGGTGATGGTGGTGGTGATCGGTGCTGTGCCAGCAGTCGACGTAGTTTGGCGTCCACGTCGGGAAGGCAGCCTGAAGACCGGCGGGTGGGCAGTGGGGTGATGTCTGTGGAGGGGCCCGTGTGGAGCCGGGTGGGGGCTAAGCCGGGTGAGCAGCCCCGGGAAGCCGGGAGGATGGATGGAACACTGAATAGCCCTAAGGCCAAGATAGCGGCTCAAGTTCGTATGCAATCAATACCCCTCACTCTCCCCCTTCCCCTTCCCCTCCCCTCCCCTCCCCCCACCTGAAATCTCGTAGTGCGTCCCCTTGTCGTCCTGCACCTGTGTCACGCTGACTCGGAGCCGCTGGCCGCAGCCGCCCTCGCCCTCGGACTGGGAGGCAGAAGGGGAGGGAGGGAGGGAGGGAGGGCTGTCGGGGCTGGGCGCAACAGGGGAGGGGGGAGGGACATCGCACCGCTCTGTCAGCGAGCCCTCAACACCAACCCGCACTCCCCACCCACCCGTCCGCCCGACAGACAGACAGACAGGCAGGCATACATACAAGCAACAGAGAGACAGGATCCACTTACTGTTGGCATGAACCCTTCGTACACGAACTTGGTTTTGCGCCGCCCGTACTCCAGGTGCCGGTTTCGGGGCAGGCCCCGCTTGCTGCGAATGAAGCCGTCGAAGCCCTCCGTACGTACGGCAGCCGCCACGCGACGAGCCGTCGAGTGCGCGTCCACGTCGTACATGAGTCCCTTTGAAGCAGCAGCGGCGCAGCATGCAACTCAATAAGCCTGGGTAGCAGAACTACAGTGTCCGGAATCCCCCTCCCGAATGCCCCTCTTCCATGTACGGCCAGCATGTACGGCACCCTCCGGCTGATCAGCCATTCAACATGGCGTGGCAAACAGCATGCTGCTGCGCTTTCTAAGGACTCATACACCCTGTATGCCGTACATATGCCGTACGGTTTGTTTCCCTGCTTACCGGATGCTCCCTGAACTGCGTGATCAGCTTGAGTCTCAGGTCGAGCTGTTGCGGCCCGGACATGAGCGTCACAGAGGGGTTCTTGGAGCCGCCGACCTTGAGCTTACGCAGGGAGGCGGTGGAGTCGTCCCTGTGGTGTGCGCGCGCGTGCGTGTGTGTGTGTATGTGTGTTTTCACCGCTTGACACGTGTCGAGGAGGGGGATCCGTACGGAGGAAAGCATGCTCCTCCAGCTCGTGAACTTGTCGTAGAGCTCGGCAGATCCTCAATACACCTCATGTGCCCAACACGCGACGTGCCGCACTAGCACGCAGTCCCCAACGGCCCTACATCCCTCGACCAGCCTGGACCCCCCCCCGCTGCTGCTGTTAGGTTCGCTCTGTGTCCCCCCTTCCCCTTACGGCCCCCACAGCGCTGCTCACCCTCCCTCCATCGTGAGTGCAATGGAGTAGTGCACGTTGAGCTCCTGGTTGATGACGTGCAGGGTGGCGGTGGTCTTGGTGTCGGTCAGGGAGAAGCCCAACACGTCCGTGAGCCAGGAAGTGACCCGCGGGACGGTGGAGGCGGGAACGTAGTTGCTGAACACGGACTGGTACGCGCCGCGACCAGAACTCGCAGCCTGCACGTACAGTCGACAACGCAGCAGCAGCAACAACATGTTGAACATCGCGAAAGTGTACGAAGAGATGACAAAAAGTGACAAGAAGTAGAATGACAAGCTGGGCCGCACGCAAATCCGCACATTGGCAGGCAAGCAGAAACGGAGTCCTCGTCCCAAAATAATTTCACAGGGGATCCAACACGCACCAACTCGGAAGACAGCTGGCAGCTAGAGAGATAAGGAGCGAAAAGCCCCTAAGATTGGCCCCTGTTCTGGAGCAAGCCCTATTCCTTTGCCCTAACCATAACGCTTCATCTATAAGTGTACGACAGGCCGCCGTACCAAGCGTACCAGGTCAGAGGCGCTCAATTCAGTCTTATCCGCAAGCGGCCCGAGGTTGCGGAAGAGGTTTTTGCCTGTGGTCGAAACACGTGTTGGGGTTGGGGTTAGAGATTAGGGGAGTGTGGCATTGGTGTGGGCAGGGTAGACACGAAAACAGTTTTTCTCTGGGACTGAAGCGGCGGCACGAACAGCACACCGAAATGTAACCGGCAAAGCCTGCTGCCCAGCTAAGGGTAGCTCCGAAAAATTCCGGAGGGAGTCTGAATCGCAAGGCACCCAAAACCGTCCGAAGCCAATCGCGGGACCCTCCAACACGACCTTCTGACAACTCCTATATCCTGACCTCTCGCATTATCGTACCACCACCCAACAGACTGGACATTCCGAAACTCTCACCAAGCATGCTAGCGAGTCAAGTGAGAGAATCAAACCTAAACCCCCGACACTGCACTGCCTCCCCCAGATTGCTCACCAAGCTTAAACCGGAGCTTGAGGACGTCAAACGCGGGCTCAAGGCACGCCGCCTTGTGAGCTGCCGCCGCCAGCGCCAGGCCCACAGCCGCCAGCAGCGGCGGGTTGCCACGCCGCTTGGGGCCGAGCCCGGCCAGCGCCCGGGCGACGGCGGCGGCGGCGGCAGCTGTCGCAGCAGCGTGGACGCCTGCCGCGTTATTGCCGTCGCGGCCTATTGAAGCCTTATCCTGATCCCGCTGCCCGTCCTGGTCCTGCAGACGTCAGGGAAGAAAGCAGCGATTATGAATTTCGTTCATCATTACCTTAACCGCCACCAGCAGTAAAGGTCACCCGTACAGCACACCCGTACAGCACACCGCGCACCCGGCTGCAGGGAATGGTGACCGGCACCAGCTCGAATAGCCGCTCTCGAAGGCCTAGCGCGGCCGCAACTTCATCTGTGGCGAGCCGGGAAAGGCGGGTGACGGTTGCGCATATCGCGGGGCCGCAATATGCGCAAGGCCAACTAGTTTGTTTCAGTTCGTAGGGGGTATCGTGCAGGGGTTCTCGCGATGTAAGATGTCAACGTGGCCACTAAGAGTTGCACCAGGCTACGGTGTGCTCAGCACCGCTCACTGCGTCCCCAGGAGACCCCTCAAACATAGACAAAGATTACAACACGAACCCGACGTGCGCAGTGTACGACTGCCCCAACCCTCCACGTCTCCTGTATCCGCTTTGCCTTTGAGGGGCAGGGCAAGGGCAAGGGCCAAATTGAGGGAGGGTCCCAACGCGCCTATCATTGCTCGCCATACGGCAGGCTGTCAACGGCCTTTCCAAACACTGCCGTTTCCCTGGGGGCTGTCCACTGAATAACCCCCACCCGGTATGTGTGTGCATGTATGTGTTGGTGGCGTGTAAGAGGCGATTGCGCGTCTGCGATTTGATGACTTGTATGAGTAGACCTCTGCAGTGTGGGCAGGGGTACGCGGGACGTATCAATCCCGGACGCAAGGCTTTCGGGAATTGGACCGCTGCTGAAGCGCACCCTTGCCAAAAACACACCCGTGCCATCTGTTCCCTCCTCGCACTCTTTTCCTGCTCCAACCCTCCCTACTACTCGATCCTCGTTACCCCCTTTGTGCGGCCCTCCCCGACTAGCATCATCGTGAGCCAGCACGGGTCGGATTTGCTTGCTGGTGTTCCATACAACGCGGTGTTTACCTTGCCGCTGGGAGAAGCTGGCCCGCGGGTCAGTGCCGAATGCGGCCTCGAGGAGGATGAAGCCGGGGCGGGGGAGGGGCGGCAGGTCGTCATCGTGTGTCGCTGTTGAGCAAAGGTAGTAAGCCGGGTAGGTGAGGGCGGAGGGGGTTTCAACAGGGGGGCAACAGAGCATTGCACAGCGGAAAGTTAGGGGGAAGCAGCGGACCGAGGCACTCAGCTTGTCGGGGGAAGCCGGTGCCGGGGGCCCCAAGTGCTACATGAGGTGGCTTGATCGGCAAGGCAAATGCAAGCAAAAGAGAGAGAGAGAGAGAGAGAGAGAGAAGAGAAGAAAAAGATTAGGAGCGGGAGGTGGTGCTCATCACCACCGACGACTGCAGCAAGTAGGCCGCTGCGCATTCAGCGCTGTGTGCGCCTGTGTGTCTCCCCACAGCAACTTATCAGCAAGACATTTTTAGTACTAACCAATGTAGACATGCGTCTGCACCTGCAAGTCGTTCATTGCTGTTTTCGATCAGCAGCCCGTAATCAGGGATTCCACATGTTCCGCGTTCCCATCCGACACGCGCGCACCTCCTAATAGCTTTCGGGCTGCGCCCAGCTGCAACTGCACGAGGAGCACAGCTCGCTCACGTACGTGATCCTCCTTAGCTCGTATGGTGATGGCGGTATCATTTACAGTGATGTGTGCACCACCCGAGTGGAAGTGAAGCCATCGCACATTGTGGCCACCACGACCTACGACGGCTCCGGCTTTAACGCCTGGCGGTAAAGGCAGCTTCACGACATCGGGTCTGCAAGGTGACTCCATGAGCGGCAAGAATGTCATGTATATTTTCTCAGCTATAGGACTGCCTGACCCTACCCTTCATGCCATTACAGGAGACACCTTAATTGGATTTCAAGTATAACGCCCTACTGTAATTTTCAGAATGTAGGAAAGATGGTGCACTAAATCTCGCGCCAGCTAGATGCGCGCTATTTATTGTATGTCAGGGGCCTGGGGCCCCTCCAAGGGCAGGTACGGGCAATGGGATCAGTTTGCACTCAAGTGTGTACCGTCATGTACAAAATTTCCAGGTAGGGACTTCTATCGCTAAATGTTTTCACGTTGCCCTGCGATGGTCCTCGTATGACTAAGGAACGCTGAGCAGCATGCCGAAGTATTTAACAACTACGGGCACTGAATACATCCGCATACGTGCAGTTACCCATATTAAAATAGGAAGGACTGGGATCAAATGACCGCGCGACTGCAACGTTGCAACGCTTGAAATACTGCTTTCGCGATTTTTACTCGTGGCAACACAGCTTTCTTAAACCAAAAAACTTAAAAGTTGAGAAACTGGCCTACAATCCGTAAGCTTGCATGGTCTCCCGCGCAAGTTGATGTTTCCTCGATCGAGCTTACGTCGTAGTGTTATACAGGCTAATATTCACATGTTAAAATTTTTTCAGGGATTACGTTAGGTTCTGCTACCTCCAGTTCGAAGAGCTAGTGTACGTTTCGCCGCGAGGCGAAGGGTTACGAAATGAGCACCCAAAGTGTCCGATACTCAGGAAGGCCTGGCCTAACAGTTGGACTGGGGAGCTGGTAAGGATTCCTAATCTGACATTGGTTGCGATTACATCCACCTGCAAGGAGTAATGTGCTGTCGAATATCGAGTTGTGTCGTGGAGCGGGATTACCACGGGTTCTGGCAAATCTCACGGCAGGGCCAGGACAATTTAAAATTCTCGTTGCAGGCGTTACTTCGCATGCATTAGAGCCCTCTATCCATTCGTCCTGGTTCGGCCTAGCGATACTCGTCTTGTTCGTGACTTTTTCGTGACGTCACCACAGTAACACCTTCGGTTGCAACCCAATTGGGCACCCGCTTTGCTACCAGCTGGTAGCAAAGCGGAGCTGCAGCTTTGCCTTTGCAATGCAGGCAATTGCCTGGACGGCGCGCGGTGTAGTACCTTAAATATCTATGTATGCTGATATACCGTTAGAAAGCGGTGTATCGGAAGATACCATCCTCGGTAGCTCTTCAGGCACGAGGGCAAAACACCTTTGTCAGCGCCTTCTGGTGCCTTGCGCTTTGCATCTATCTACGTGCACACGGCCATGTATGTGGCGGCAAAACGGCTCCAGCAGCAGAAGCAAGAGATTGGGTATGACCGAAACCAAGCGGACAACCTCTCATCCCATCGAGTCAATGCCATCACGGGCACACTTAAAACTTATAAGCGGCGGCCCTAAGCGGGGTGGGCACACCAGGGGGCGAGTAAGTGGAAACATACGGACTGCGTTTGACACAAGGATAAAAAAATTAAAGGCCATGCAACCGTGAATGTTGTTGATCCTTAACTTGCGTATTGAAGCGGTTTCTAACTTGATTCCCCGTGTGATATGGAGGACTCTTGCTCTGGAGGACTCCAGAGCGCTGCCTGAGTCTGCAACTTTAGACCAGCTGGTCTCCCTGCAGGGAGAACCCCGCCTCTGCTTAAGATCAGTAGAGGGAAGGTTTCTGGAGCGGGGAGGTACGCCGTGCATCGCCGGTACTAGGAACGCCGCTGCTGCATGCGCGCAAGCGGCAGGTCCAATGATTAGCTACGATTACTGCACGGAAGGTGCGCTGAAAATGCAACGTACAGGCATTACACTACCAACAGGTGACTGACAGTCGCGCTGTGGCCATCTGCCGTGGTCAGTCTTAGGTACTGTTTATGTGGTTTCTCCCTAAGATAGCGCTCAAGTGTTTTAATGTGCAAATTAGATCCATTCTGTCGTATGGAGTCCAGGTGTGGGGACCGCAGTTCGTTGTCCAGGTCGTTGAACGACCACACGACGCACAAGGGCGGCCCTGCTACTTCGAAAGGTCTCTAGGGAGAATCGCATAGTCGAGCTGCAACGCACGTTTCTGAAGCATCTCTCTGGGTTAGGGAGGATACCGGATGTGCTGTTTAGGGAGCTTGGTCAATGGCCCTTCCACCTTCACCGGGCCGCACTCAACTACCATTTTTGGAACAGGGATATCCTTGCAAAGGGGACTGTGTTTCTCACAATGTTTTGCGTGAGGAGATACTTCTTGCAATGCGTTCTGATTACACTGCCACCAACTGGGTTGTCATGATTCTAAGGGCCTCAGGTGCTTAAGGCACTCACTCTTTGAGGCACTTCCCAGAGCTGCACCCGGACCTGGATGAAGTCTGGGGAAGGTCATTTCGTCGAGCCCGACCAATGTTCGATCCGCCATGGAAACGTTGAACGAGCGATTTGATGATGACTGGACGAACCCACGTCTTATCAATACATCAGAATACATCCGGGGAGTCTTTGTCGGACAACCGTAACCAGGGATTAAGATTTGCCGGCATCCCCATTGGATGGGAACGCCGAAGCACACGATGTGCTACGTCCCTGCTTCGCGAAGTCATACTTGTCACTGCTGCGGTTTCGTTTAGGACGTGGCCTTTGGAGGTTAGCCGACCCGCCGGTCGGTCGCGCCAAGAGCGCTGATGTAGGGTCTGTGGCAACAATAACGCAGTAAAAGATGTGTTTCACGTGTTGCTAGAGTGTTTCGCGTGCAACCACCTACGGGAAGGGCTTCTCAAGCGTCTTGGAAGACCTTTAGCCGTGCGTTGTTCTCCTCCACCGCAAGTTACTTAATTCAGTAACAGATAGAAGGGCTTCTCAAGTCCTAGGTGTACGCCAGGCGGATGTCGTGCCCAACATGAGGTCTGTCATGGAGATAGATGATCAGCGCGGACTTGCGCAGATCGTACACAACATCTTCGTGAGGCGACGCGCGCTGATAGCCGAGTAGTGAGCCTACTCTGTTTACTGTTTCTCTCTCAGATGAGGTCCATGACCCCTTCTTTCTTTTTCCTCTTTTGTTTCGTCCTTCGTTTTGACGACGCTAGAACGTCTGGGCCTTACGAGCTCCCGCGAGCTTGTAACATAGCACATATCACATCTGTGAAAGACGCGTGTGATACCCGTGATATATTCAGCCTGTTAAGGTGATAACTCGTCTGTCAACTTGAGAACTGTCCATAAACGCTATGCTACACCTGCATTATCGAAGAGAGACTAAGTGAGTAGCCATTTGGGACTTGCAGACACAGAGCAGTTCAGTTGGCAGGTAGGGATAGAGCTTGAAGATCGGCACACAGGGGCAGACCGAAGACAAACATCCACAGCCATGCCATCCATTAGTCATCTAAGTAGCAAATTCATGGGATCCCAAAAGCAAGGCTCTTTCAGGGAAGAAGCTTGTGTGGCGTTACTGGCCGTGCCTGGCCTTGCTGAGGCCGAAATCGTTTCGAATCACTTGTAACAGCCATCGTTGCTGGCTAACGGACGGCCATGCGCTTGGCGCCTGGATAACCACTTAAAGCTCTATGAGTGAATTACGAAAATTTTAGTAGTCTAGTAGGGAATAAGATGCGAAACCAGCATAACTTTTGGACTGCCTACATAGGGGTAAGTTGTTCGCCGTAACCTCCCCCGGTGGCCCTTCACCCCGCGCACCAACGTTAGGGATATTCATGGTAAGCAACTCAAGCCATCATAGCTATGCAAGCGAATATCACGTTTTTATGTTCGTTATCAGTTGCCAGCGCTTGCATTCCTGCTACCTTTGGTATTGCAGTCAGTTTGCAGCCGGCTCCGAAGACATCTGTCAAGGTATCCAAGGCTAGCCGTTTAAGCCGTAGAGGTTATAATAATAAACTTAACAAAAAATATAATTAAAGTTGTAGTTAGATGCTTTGAAATTCCCATGGTATGCGGAGGTCCTCGGGGTTCGTGGAATATACGTTGAAATACTCGGATATGTTTCCCTACCCCTAGTTGCCAATCGTAGTACAGTAACAACCCGCCTGCTGTGATACTATGATACTGTAATACTTGGACTACGCGAAAGGCTGTGAAAACCTGCTGCTGCGCCAAATTGCAGCAACGTAGCCTTACTTAGGGTAGACAAAGCCTTGCGGTGTTGAAACGACACGAGCTTGCTTCTTGTCAAATCATGGCGTCCAACCGGACAGATATTGTAAAGGTGCCACTCCCCATTGGAATTAAGGCTGGCGTAATGGTTGGGCGCGGCGGCCACAACTGCCGATGGCTCCATTATAATTCTGGAGGAGCTCACATTACAGTCAATGATACGGCCATAAACATTCGGGCGAGAGATTGCCATGTCCGAGCTCGTGCCATCCAGCTTGTGCGCCGACAACTTGAGGCGATGACCCGGCTAGGTATGTTTTTGAAAAAACGTTTGATGATAGGCACCAGAGCTACCAGGACAGCCAGGTGCAATGCTGCACGACGATACATATTCTGTATGGGTTACCTCGCTTTGCTGTAACTGATACTTCCGTAATAAGGATGGAAACTAGTACATGCTGAGCTAGGGTTCTATTCTTACGTCTTTGCCTTACTTACGGTATCAGTGCCTACCTCCTGCCAAGGTGTTACCTGATTTGCCACCCCTGCTCGCAGCCATCCACGACTGCGATGTGGCAGCCAGGGTCGATTATGTTCTTCTTGAAGATGCCTTTGGCCTGGACCCGAGAGTTCGTTTCTGCCTCCGGAACGGTACGCCTGCGCGCGCGTTTTACACGTCAGCCCGTTTGTTTAAAACAGTGGCGCCCATGTTGTGTTGTCTACGCTGCCAGCCATCCGTGTTAATGCTCGAACCACATAGGCATCAAAATGTGTACCTCCCAATCGGATGTGGTTTTCCCCAAATTTTGCAATTTGTCTCTATGTGAGTGGCGCTCCGAAGTTGTCTCGAGCGCAGCATGAAGCTCACGTGTGTCTCATACGCAGCGCCCCGCCTTTACTCAACCTGTTGAGCAACGGCGCTATCTTACCCTTCCTCCCGTCCACTGTCCATACTTGTACCGCCGTACCGTCTCGCCCGCAATGCCAGATGAAGTGGCCGCGATCACGGGCCGCAAGGAACGGCTTTTTGAACTGGTTCCGGAGCCCCAAAGCACCGGCAGTGAACTACCAAACGACCAAGAGCCAGACAACCTACGCCAAGTCAGTGATGGCAGCCGCCGCGCTTCCAGCTTTAACAGCCAAGGCAAGGCTGCAACCTCCGGCGGGTCACTAACACAACAGGTGGGTTATGACCAGGCCCTATCACCGGTTGTGCAGCAAAATATGTCAGCGTGGCATTTCTAGCTGGAATGTGTTTAGGCAATACAGGCACCCTCGCATCGCGAGGTGGCAGGTACAGTGGTGCCGAGTTGCGGCTTTACGAACGTAGGTTGTCGTATCAGAGTAGCACCACATTTGACATCGCCGGAATCGCGGAAGCAGGCAGGCAGACAGGCAGCTCCCAAAAAGAAAGCATTCTGTTGTTGCTGAGGACACGCTGGACGCCTCGCGTGTGCGGCCACCACAGCGCCACCCAGGCCCACAGGCGCCAGGGCCGCTTCCAGTGCTTTTGCTATTGCTGCGGCGGGTAGCGGCGGTGTGAGTAGTTGTGCTTTATTGCTAATCGCTATAGTCGTGGTGATGATGGTGGTAATGATGGTGGTGATGATGGTGGTATTGATGGTGGTAATGATGATGGTAATGATGGTGGTGATGATGGTGGTGATGATGGTGGTAATGATGGTGGTAATGATGGTGGTAATGATGATGGTAATGATGGTGGTGATGATGGTGGTAATGATGGTGGTGATTGCTGCTTACTCCTTGAACCCCCGCAGGACTTTGACGGGGAGCGGGACCGGGACCAGCTGCCAGGGTGGGGTCGGGTGTCGATGGTTGGGGACGGCGATGGCACGACACGGTTCCATGCTGCAACATCCATCGCTGTCGCGGTGGCCATGGCCGTGCTGGGATATTGCCCCAAGCGGCGTGGCAACCCGCCGCTGCTGGCGCCCGTGGGCCTGGCGCTGGCGGCGGCAGCTCACAAGGCGGCGTGCCTTGAGCCCGCGTTTGACGTCCTCAAGCTCCGGTTTAAGCTTGGTGAGCAATCTGGGGGAGGCAGTGCAGTGTCGGGGGTTTAGGTTTGATTCCCTCCCTTGACTCGCTAGCATGAGCCAAGAGACCCAAGTTTGTTATGGTTTTGAGGACCCTGAAGAGCCGTATTAACTGCAAATTGATGAAGTGAGGCTACGATTTCAGGATCGCAATTCGGTGAACTTTTTGACATCTGCGATTTCTCAGTTGAAGGTGTTTGTAGAATGATACTCGGTGTTATCTCCGGTCACTGCTGTTGTTGTTGTTTAATCCTCAACCTCACCAATTTATATTGTCACGGTCACACACACACAGGCAAGAGCCTCTTCCGCAATCTTGGCCAGCGAGCAGATAGGACAGCTCTCAGCGTCGCCGACCTCGAGGTAGGTCGTACGGTCGTACAGCAGCGTTGACCGGCGGGTACGGCAGAGGTATGGACGACTGGCCATATGACGAATGGCTGATCAGCTTAAAGGTCCTGGAAGCACCTTGATTAACTTTGCGACGGCGGGCAGGGAATGCATGGCAGCAGGGATGTAAAGGGGTTATATCTGGGGTGGCAAGCAACTAAAACCTTTCGCGGCGGGACATACACGGGTTCGGTTGGCTTCCTTTCGTTTGATAGCAGCCATTCAGCGTTTTGCTCTTCATGTTTGGTGTCTCCGCGGCCAGGGGTCTATGTGTCGTTAGCGAAATCACTTATGTGATTCCCCTCTCGCGATGTTCAACCTGTTGTTGTTGTTGTTGCTGCTGCTGCGTTGTCGACTGTACATGCAGGGTGCGGGTTCTGGTCGCGGCGCGTACCAGTCCGTGTTCAGCAACTACGTTCCCGCCTCCACCGTCCCGCGGGTCACTTCCTGGCTCACGGACGTGTTGGGCTTCTCCCTGACCGACACCAAGACCACCGCCACCCTGCACGTCATCAACCAGGAGCTCAACGTGCACTACTCCATTGCACTCACGATGGAGGGAGGGTGAGCAGCGCTGTGGGGGCCGTAAGGGGAAGGGGGGGCACAGGGCGAACCTAACAGCAGCGGGGGGGTGGGGGTCCAGGCTGGTCGAGGGATGTAGGGCCGTTAGGGACTGCGAGCTAGTGCGGCACGTCGCGTGTTGGGCCCAGGAGGTGTATTGAGGATCTGCCGAGCTCTACGACAAGTTCACGAGCAGGGAAACCTAGAGGGACATGCTTTCCTCTGTACGGATCCCCCAATCCCGACACGTGTCCCGCGGTGCAAACACACATACACACACGCGCGCGCACACCACAGGGACGACTCCACCGCCTCCCTGCGTAAGCTCAAGGTCGGCGGCTCCAAGAACCCCTCTGTGACGCTCATGTCCGGGCCGCAACAGCTCGACCTGAGACTCAAGCTGATCACGCAGTTCAGGGAGCATCCGGTAAGCAGGGAAACAAACCGTACGGCATATGTACGGCATACAGGGTGTATGAGTCCTTAGAAAGCGCAGCAGCATGCTGTTTGCCACGCCATGTTGAATGGCTGATCAGCCGGAGAGTGCCGTACATGATGGCCGTACGTGGAAGAGGGGCATTCGGGAGGGGGATTCCGGACACTGTAGTTCTGCTACCCAGGCTTATTGAGTTGCATGCTGCGCCGCTGCTGCTTCAAAGGGACTCATGTACGACGTGGACGCGCACTCGACGGCTCGTCGCGTGGCGGCTGCCGTACGTACGGAGGGCTTCGACGGCTTCATTCGAAGCAAGCGGGGCCTGCCCCGAAACCGGCACCTGGAGTACGGCCGGCGCAAAACCAAGTTCGTGTACGAGGGGTTCATGCCACCAGTAAGTGGATCCTGTCTCTCTGATGTTTGTATGTATGTATGTCTGTTGGGCGGACGGGTGGGTGGGGAGTACGGGTTGGTGTTGAGGGCTCGCTGACAGAGCGGTGCGACCCTCCCCTGTTGCGCCCAGCCCCGACAGCCCTCCCTCCCTCCCCTCCTTCCTCCCAGTCCGAGGGCGAGGGCGGCTGCGGCCAGCGGCTCCGAGTCAGCGTGACACAGGTGCAGGACGACAAGGGGACGCACTACGAGATTTCAGGTGGGGGAAGGGGAGGGTAGGGGAAGGGGAAGGGGGAGAGAGAGGGGTATTAATTGCATACGAACTTGAGCCGCTATCTTGGCCTTAGGGCTATTCAGTGTTCCATCCATCCTCCCGGCTTCCAGGGGCTGCTCACCCGGCTTAGCCCCCACCCGGCCCCACACGGGCCACCTTCACAGACCGCACCGCACTGCCCACCCGCCGGTCTTCAGGCTGCCTTCCCGACGTGGACGCCAAACTACGTCGACTGCTGGCACAGCACCGACCACCACCACCATCACCACCGCCGCCAGCGGCATCAGTTGACGACTCGGGCTGCTTCGTGCCGGAGTGGCGCCGGCGCGGCAGCAGCGGCGGAAGCAGTGTCGGTCCCGGATTGAGCCCCGTTCCTGTACCGGTAGGCCTTAGCTTCAGCCGCAGCAGCAGCGGCAGTAACAGCGGCGGCGGCGGCAGGCTGTACGACAGCGTCAGCAGCAGCCCAACGTGGACGCACGCTACCCTGCCCGATCCGGATTCCCAATGGGCAGTTGGCGCCTTGAGCGTATTATCTAGCTTCGTCACGGAGCTGAACAGCTGCGTCGGCAGTGCGTTGCTGTCGCGGCAACCCTCCCTAGAGCCCCTGTCCGCGGCCTGGGGGCCGTAACGGCGGACCTGAAGGTGTGTGTGGCAATATGTGTGGTGGTGTGTGTGGCAATATGTGTGGCAATGTGTGTGGCAACATGTGTGGTGGTGTGTGTGATGGTGTGGCAATGTTAGTCATCCCCCGGACCGATCTCAATTGGCACCCCCGGGATGTTATCGCCCGCATGCCGCATGCCCCGCCATATGCCGCGGCGTTTCTCTTCCGGCTTTCGGATCCGTGGGACTGATGAGACTCGTTTTCCTTTCCTTTCCGGTTTCCTGAGGCGCTGGGCGATGGGACTAACGCCAACGTCAACGCCAATTTTCGCATCATGAAGGCTTCGTAGCATCATCATCATCATCATCATCATCATCATCTCAAATTATGTCCTTCAGCTTCTCTTCTGAGACTCACATTACGTTGCCCAACAACACGGGTTAGTCCGTACTTGCGATGCGATTGGATGATGTACAGGTCGGTAGCGGTTCTGTTCGCTCTCGCGCCATTCTCTCTGTGCACTTTGATTAGACTGATAGCATGTATCACAGTGCGGTGTCCCTCTCTCACAGAGTGAGCGAGTTTGACAGCGCTTCGATTTGACAGGCACAATATTTTCTAGGGCGATGCAGTACGGCATAAAGACTAGGTAGGTGGCGCATCGCAAGCCGACAACTAGTGCGTGACGAATGTAAGGAGCCATGTATCGGTATGTATGAATGTATGTTTGTACGTATGTATGTACGTATGTATGTATGTACGCTTGGGTGAGGCACCCTGCTCATTACTAGGGGATTTTGCCCTTGCGAAGGAAGTTGGAATGAGTGTTAGCTGGAGCAAGTGCGTGTGTGTGCTGATAGACCCTTAGCTATTCTTGCGTGCGGCCTAACTTACCCGCCGCACGCCATTACTTTCCGCCGTGACCATTACTTTCCGCCGTGCGGTGGGTACTTTTGTTTTGCTGCATACATACATGCATGCATACCTAGCGATGCGGCAATGGGTACATAGCTTAAGTCGGGATGCATCCGACCCGCCGGCTGTCTATCAGGTTCTAGGGAAGACTTGAAGTGATCGAATCTTTTGTGCATAGCCGACGACGAAGAGAAGAGAGAGCGAGTGTGTGTGTGTGTGCGTATGTATGTGTGTCTATGTGCGATGGAGGGTTTCCTCAGGGCAACCCGCCGACTGTTTAGGGTCAAGTGGCCTCGCCCGGCCAGTTTGTGGGGCCAAGTTTTCATGGCCTGTTTTGTGTGCACATGCCTCGCTGTCCGCTTGGCATTTCTCACGTTCTTCTGCCATCCTGTGAGCAGCTAGCGATGTGCCGCAGCTGCGCGCCGCTAGCAGCCGGGTTTCTGTCGTAATCAAATTAGGAATACGGCAGACTGATTGGCGGGCCGTGCGTCTATGCCTAAGGCTTTCTCCCCTTTTAAGTGGATGGCAGCATCATAATACTGTAGAAAGCAGGTTTTCGCTCTAGCAGTATGTTGCATGTAAAAAAGGCATATTGCAGTAAAGGCATGTTGCATGTAGGAGTCTATAGGAGGAAATCTAAAAAATTTATCGTTTGGAAGACGGCGACGGCTTTGTTTTTATGGGTCGCCATCGTCGTTGCAGCTATATAGTTGTGGGCTTTGTGGTGATTGAATTTACCGATGGCACGAAGAACGCGCAAGAATTGATGCGCAAAGGGTTGGTCGCATTATTGCAGTTAGTATACTGCGTTGATGAGGACAACTGCGTTTATCATCGACAGGGAGGGAGGTGATTGAACTGCATGAAGGAGGAATACGAATACATGAAGAGCGCGGCGAGGCTGACGCGGCGGTCGCTCGTGCATCTGCGCGTTTTAAGCATCATGGCGCACATCTACCATCTAAGGTACATCGCGTTACGGCGATTTATAAGGTTTAATCCCCACTATGGTAAATATACCTCGTTCCACGTGTAACGATATCCGCAGGCAGTAATGTTCATCGCAGCTTTAACGGCTCAGATTGCTTCGTTGCTCTTTCAAAAAATCAAAGCGGACAACAGCTCACAGTGCAACCAGGGCCCCGTGACTTATACTGAGGATTTCTGAAAGTTATAATTACAGTCTCCGCCAGCTAAACCTAAAACATCATTACAGTCGTATGAACGGCAGACGCAACACGGTGACAGCCTGTGCTGAACCGTCGTAATTGTTTTTTAAATAAGAGAGCCTGCCTAAACGCCTACCTGCACCAAAACACGTACATACGTATGTAGTATAACATTAGATGAGGGTACGATGTTCTTAGGGACTCTGCCAGTTAAACGCGCGCGATGGGTGAAAATACCATCCATAGCCAACAGCAGCAGCTAACAGCAGAATTCCGACGAACCCGCGCACCTCCACGTCTACATCCACAGCTACAACCACAATCCGGCACCTAAAGAATATGACCTCCCTTCCCCCTTCTCAACATTTCCCTCCTCACACTCACTCGCTCACTCGCTCGCTCGCGCACTCGCACGCTCAGCATCCCGCCATCCATAAGCTAACATATTCGAATTAGGTGCATCATCGCCTTCCTCCACACGTGCCGTGCCATGCGCTTGTCGGCACAATCGCTCCTCATCATCATCGTCACACGCGTGTCCCATGCGGACAGACAGATTGAAAACGGACTGACGGACTGACGGACAGATGGACACACGGAGCCAACAAAAGCTTTCCCGGTTGCAGTTAGGGCGGTTGTCTGACTCGGCAAAAAATAGTGTGATGTGCGTGGCGGGTAAGGGTGCGTACATGCCGCGCATGCAGATTGGCGGCAGGTGCAACCCCGGCCGTCTTACTAAGACTAGTAGTCCGCGAGCATCGCCATGGTCGTCAGGGCCGACTTGCACGCTGTGCTTGCTGTGCTGCGATGTGATGTCATGTGCGTCCTCCTCCCCAGCGAACCTATATCGCCAAGCACACCGCTTATCCTAATCTAGCGAGCTATCCTATCCTACCAGATCCATTCCTCGGTTCAAAAAATCCAAACGGTCCAAAAACGTCCAACCGACAAACTGACTAACGAACTAACAAATCAACACCATGAGCGATATCAATTAAACTGCGACAACATGTTATGGGTTTGCAGAGGAGATCCTTTCGGACCCGTTGCGCAACTAGTTCTTTCATGTTGATGTGTATGGCACGCGTGCACGTGTTTCCTTGTCTCTTTCTTTCTCTCTCTCTCTCTCTTCCCCCTCCTGTCCCTCCCTCCCTCACCCTTTTTCTCACGTCATCATCACGCTTTGCCAAACGACGCACAGATGCAGCGCTCTCCAGTACATGGCATTGCCACAAATTTTTGTTCGGTCCACGGGACAAGCATGCAATATACGCCACGCATGGCTGTGCATGTACTTCATGTCTTTTACCTCCGTTGTCAATTATCGGATGTGTCAGGTCAACAGGCAAAAGCCCCTTCGGATATCCGTACTTGACCGTTGCTGCTGCTGCTGCAGCGGCAGCTCCCACCACAAGTACAAGTGTGGAGTACGATCCCCGTTACGACATTCCGGTCCTTTTGCACCTGCCGGGTATAGCGGTGCTAGCTATCTAATTTGGTGTGTGTAACCGCCCGTAGGTGGCGCACGAGGCTGGAGAGAAGCACGCAGCCATGCCTTATGCATGCGCGCGCACACACACACACACACACACACACACACACACACACACACACACACACACACACACACACACACACACACACACACACACACACACACACACACACACGCGCGCGTACACATATACACATACACATACACACACAGCCGCAAGCTGCATGCAAAGCTACCTATGTGGTCGAAGGTTATGCCCCCAGTAATGCTATATGGGCACCATAGCGCACATCCCAACCAGCACTCTGTACCCCCTACCCTCGCGCCCAAGCCATTTCCACCCTCCGGGGCCATGACCTCCACTGCCTTGCCCAACAGTGAAATGGGGCTTTAGACCAGGCAGGCAGCCCGCAGCCCACAGCGGCTGATCGGAGAACTTGGTGTGTGCCCCTTCGGATTTGCCACCCCGCCTTGATTGCCGCTATAAAACACCCAAGAGTCGAACACAACAAATATGCCTAATCGAGCATGGCAACAAAGGGCATGGAACACAAACTGGACTGTACGTCCTGTATGTACTTTCGGAAGTCGGTAGAAGTCGTTTTTTCTAACCAACTAACCAACTAACCAGCTCGCAGCTTACTCGCACCGGCTGCCGGCGCAAGGTAATGGTTGAGCTGCGTAGTGAATGTCGACAGGCTCATGAGCACGTCTGCCGCCCAGCCTACACCAGTATCGGTATGTATGTCTGTACGACTGTAGCCACCGGTCTCCGGTGTGTTTGTACGGCGGTACGCAGAGCCGCCGCCGCTGCTGGTGTGGCTGTGCAGGCCCTGGTGGCCAACCAACCTAGAGACGGAGGTGGAGCCGGGGCCTGGGCGTCCGTCGCCGCTGCTGCCGCCGCGCCGGCGCCACTCCGGCACGAAGCAGCCCGAGTCGTCAACTGATGTCGCTGGCGGCGGTGGTGATTGTGGTGGTGATGTCGCTGATGGCGGCCGCTGCTGTGTCAATAGCTGGTTAAGTTTCGCGTCCACATCGGGTAGTCGGCCTGGCAGCGTGGCAGGGAAGAGGATGGGTGAGGGAAAGGTGGGAAGGGGCCCGGCAGCCTAGTCTTGTTGCCAAAAATATAAATTTGAAGCGGACACGGCGGTTGGGCTGATAAGCATCACGCGCACAAAGCCAATGTGAAAACGCTGGCGCCCAACAAACGTCCCGCCCTCACTCTCCCCCTTCCCCTTCCCCTCCCCTCCCCTTCCCCCACCTGAAATTTCGTAGTGCATCCCCTTGTCGTCCTGCACCTGTGTCACGCTGACTCGGAGCCGCTGGCCGCAGCCGCCCTCGCCCTCGGACTGGGAGGCAGAAGGGGAGGGAGGGAGGGAGGGAGGGCTGTCGGGGCTGGGCGCAACAGAGGAGAGGGGAGGGACATCGCACCGCTCTGTCAGCGAGCCCTCAACACCAACCCGCATTCCCCACCCACCCGTCCGCCCGCCCGCGCGCCCGCCCGACAGACAGACAGACAGACAGACAGGATCCACTTACTGGTGGCATGAACCCCTCGTACACGAACTTGGTTTTGCGCCGGCCGTACTCCAGGTGCCGGTTTCGGGGCAGGCCCCGCTTGCTGCGAATGAAGCCGTCGAAGCCCTCCGTACGTACGGCAGCCGCCACGCGACGAGCCGTCGAGTGCGCGTCCACGTCATAGGATAGGCCCTGCCACACGGAATGTACCGACCGAAGAACAAACACACATACACACACACAGCGGCCTCACGGCGGACCTGAGCTCCCCATCCTGTGTGCGTAGCGCCCTCTCTTACCACCCTCCTTGATCCTCACCCCCACCCCCACCCCCACCCCCATCCCCATCCCCATCCCCATCCCCACCCCCATCCCCACCCCCATCCCCATCCCCATCCCCATCAACCTGTTGGACTCCGTTCATCCCGCTACCGAAATGCCCTTGATGCCAAACACGCCCCATCAAGCCCTCTGTTCCCCTCTCCCTCCCCCCGCGCCATGTCACGCCTACCTGCTGCTCACGCATTGCAGAACGCGCCACGAACTTCAGTCGGAGGTCCAATTGCTCGGGGCCCGCCAGCAGCGCCACGGAGTGGAACCGGGAGCCGCCGGCCTTCACCTTCCGGAGCGTGGCGGCTGTGTCCATCCTGCGCACGCACGCCATAGTACGGATTGTACAGAAAGCGTCCCGCTCTCCCTTGAGACTCATGCCCATGTGCATCTAAAGGTCTGTAAAATGGCCTAGCGCCCTAGTGGACCGTTTTCGACAAAGTTATGATTTCCGTAATTTACGTTGCACCTGGGTTGTTCACGCAGGAGCATCCGCTGCGACAACGACCGTCATAGTACCGCACCGTTTAGTGCGGTCATCAAGCGCTCACATACCGACATACGTACATGCATTTAAGGTGTAACACACGCACACACATACACACATATTCACACACACATACCCACACCGCACAGAATCCCTTCAGGTACATGTTCACCCCAACAGGATCCCTCGACCAGCCTGGACCTCCCCCCCGCTGCTGCTGTTAGGTTCGCCCTGTGCCCTCCCTTCCCCTTACGGCCCCCACAGCGTTGCTCACCCTCCCTCCATCGTGAGTGCAATGGAGTAGTGCACGTTGAGCTCCTGGTTGATGACGTGCAGGGTGGCGGTGGTCTTGGTGTCGGTCAGGGAGAAGCCCAACACGTCCGTGAGCCAGGAAGTGACCCGCGGGACGGTGGAGGCGGGAACGTAGTTGCTGAACACGGACTGGTACGCGCCGCGACCAGAACTCGCACCCTGCATGTACAGCCGACACGTCGATAACGAGGTAGGGCAAGGCCCACAGTGATGAAAAGTAATGGGAAGCCGCCCCTACCGCAACTAAAGGGTTTTACGTCATCTTTCCGTGCACCCCAGGTGCCCGGCAACAGGGCAACAGGAGTTCAAGAACTGGTCGATGAGCGTGAGCGTGAGCGAGCCCAAGCGTGACTGCATCCCTAGCAAGGCCGGACCGGGTATCGAAACCGGCACGCCGGACTCTTCTGGACCATCTGGGGATGGGGTTGAGGCTTCCTGCGCTGATGGACGGACCGCTGGAAAACTTCGGGCGAAAGGAAAGAACATGTGAACAACAATCGGCTTCCCCCACACACACCAGTAGAGTAGAGTGCACTCCCTATAGCGGCATGGCTAATGGAGGCTCAAGACCGAAGAGCGCAGACCAAACCGTGCGTGTCTCTCAGACGCGTCCAAAGCCCACACGCATCTAGCCATCACCCACACAAAAACGCCGTACGCCGTACCGCCGTACGACCTGCCTCCACCGACCTCAAGGTCCGAGATGGACAGGTCGCTCCGCCCCATTCTGAAGCCCACGTTTCGGAAGAGATGCTTGCCTGCGGCATGATGATGGTGTGTGGGGAGGGAGGGGAGGAAAGGAAAAACGGACCACGCCATGAAGCGCACACCTCTACTAAATGGTTCACACATAAACAAATTGATAACACGGACTTGTTCCTTGCGGCAGTGCAGGGCAGCCAGCCAGGAGGTGAAGGTGGTGAGACGGAACCAGGGCTGGCTGTGTAGTAGAGGAAACTAGCGGTGCATCGACCGGCATCGAATTTGGGGGCTGGCAGCCGCAGAACATCATTTACATGCAGCAGCGTCACAGAGTTGGAAGTCACCTACATATGCCGCTACGGCAGCACCGCCTTTCCACCTGCCTCTCGCCTTCCATCGCCTTTCCCGTCCCCAGGGCAGGGAAAGGGAGCCCCGCTCCACCCCATTGCTGAACGCTTACCAAGGTAAAAGCGCATTTTCAGAACACCGAAGCCCACCGCCAAGTGTGCCGCTGCAGCCAACGACCTGGCAACGGGTGTCAGCTGCTGCGGAGCACAGCCTGGAGGGTCGTTGTAGGAAACGTTACCCAGATCCGCGCAGCCGCAGCCGCAGCCGCAGCCACGACCGCCGCCGGTGCAGATGCTGCTGCGGCCTCCGCCACAGCCGCAGCCACCGGTGCGGCAGCGGGTGGTGCAGTTGGCGGCGGGGGTGTGGAAGTGGAAGCGCAGCGTGATGGTGGAGGCGACTGTGGCGGCGGTGGAGCTGCGGCTGCCGTCCTGCGACGAGCTCGCATTCCGCCCAGACGTGATGGAGGTGGCGTGGACGACGACAGCTCGTGTGTCCGGGTGCCGCTCAGGGGGGCCCTGCTCGCGCGCGGATGAGTGGTTCTGTTGGGGCCAGCCAAGGGGATGATGTGCGAAGGCCGGGAGAGGTAAGGCAGACAGATTCCGGTGTCTGATGTCTGGTCGGGGTTGCGAGGACTAATGTCGAAGACGTTACCCCTCTGGCCCTTCACGGCGTGCAACCGACCCCCGTGTGTAACCCTACCCTGGTAAAAGCCACTTTTACACACACACACTCTCTCTCTCTCTCACACACACACACACACACACACAGCGTTTTTCATTACCCCTCCCACTGCCACAGCTTCTACCCCCGGGGAGCCCTTCCGGTGAAATTAGCACTGCTACCGCCACCTCTGCTTGAGCCCCCGCACCTTGGTGGTAGCCTGCGGCGTGGGCAGCCATGACTGGACCGACGTTTTGCCCACCACGCCGGCAGCAGCGTCCCCTCCATGACCTCCTTCTTCACATTGCTGCTCGAGCTTGTTGGTCAACACCCAGCACGCCACCTCTGCGAGCACGTCGCCGTCGCTACCGCCGTCGCCGCCTGCAGTGCTCCTGCCACTGCTACTGCCGCTGCTGCTGCAGATTACTTCGCTGCTGCCGCAACTGCTGGAGCTCGACGGCACGGGGACCAGCTCGAAGAGCTTGCCTTTTTTCTGCACAGCTGCCGCGGCCTCATCTGCCGGAGGGCGCAACACCGACACGGCAGGGGCAGGGGCATTCCTTTCGCAGCACCAACAGGGGGACAGAGCAGCAGTGAAATCCTGATCCGTCACAGGATACCCTAGACAATTGTTTCGCTTCGCATTTTAAAGGATTTGAGAGGTTTGAAGGAGTTTTTTGGGGCATACGGAATGCTGGGGAGTGGACGAGTACGAAATTCTGTACTGTTCAGCCTCAAAGCCAATTCAATGCACAGGCCGAGATTAGCAGCAGCAGCAGCAGCAGCAGCAGTAGTACCGCCCATCCCCTTACAGGCTCTGGTTTTACACCAGCCCGATCACTACAACCGCCCGTTTACGATACTTCATTATGTCGGTGTGATCTACTTAGGTATGCGCGGGGTGTTTTTGCAGCCTCAATGAGCTTGTGCTTACCGGTTCGCAAGGCGAAACGGACCCGTGGGTCGCTTCCGAAGGCGCTTTGCAGAAGCACGTGATCGAAGCATGAAGGCAGCAGGGTTTCGTGGGTATCTGCGGGTGCAAGTGTAGGACGACGGGGGCGGTATTGCCGGGGAACGTACTTTGCATCATCAGGGGGATTGGGACCAGAGACCGGGGCGCACGAGATGGAAACCAACCTGGACTACATTTAGCGCCCGAAATTAAATGTTGTGAGCATTACTGGATGCCCGCGGGAATGATAGATTCCCGGTTCCAACCATAATGCACCATGACGTAAACCGCAGAGGCGTAAGCGCGAAATGCGATGATGATGGACGTGGAAATGCAGACAACTTAGTGGGATGGCGCGTTCGCTCCCTGCTGTAGTATTTGCATGCCACGAGTTCGGCTGAAGGAAAAGGGATATCCGGTTTGCAAGTAGTGTGACCAATAGGCGATGAGAGGAATTTACCGACGTAAAGTGATAAATAATTTATAAAGGATATTTGCAAAAGCATACATAATTATATTTAAGGCACACCTATCCAGGTGCCGCCCGGTGCCAATATAACCAGCAACGGGGATAAAGAGTGAGAAGCATCGGGGCTGTAGCTGCTGCACACATACACTACGTCAATAGCTCATAGGTTAAGTAACTGCAGATGTGGGTCTGGCGTATTCGAAAACAATTATTCGCTTTATGAGACGCATGGTTGACCACGATGTGGCTAACTTGGCAATCGTCGTTACAGCAAACACGCACGATCGATGTCCACCTTTGCAATACAAAGGCGCAGGACCCAGACTTTCTACTGTTATCGTCGGTTACATGTAACCTACCAAACATGATCATGGCCTCCAGTTGCCGGCGAACCAGTTGGACGCCTCGGTTGCGTGCATGCGCGTTTTTTGCACGGATAATGATTTCAGCATCGTTGACATTTACATGTGCACCACCAGAGTGTATATGGAGCCATCGTGTATTGATACCTCCTCGACCTACGAGCTGCCCGGCCCAGATGCCTGGAGGTATTGGAACCCTTACAACGTCGGTCCTAGTTTCTTTCATCTGTTGACCATATAAGAATGTTACAGCTGGTTGAGCTTAACCCATGTCTCAAAAGTCATTACGTCGCGCAACCACATGACAAGACGCAGAAGGTCAAGGAAAGCAGCCTCTCCAGAGTAAAGCCAAGGCTATTACGAAAATTACCTAATGAAATAACTAGCCTAATATGCAAAATGTGCAAAACAGTCAAAGACAGTCAACATTTGTTGATATTGTACCACCATTGCCACCGTACTGACTGCGGATCCAGCAACTTCCTGCGGTGTCCGTCCTTCCGGCATCTAGTTAGCTGAACCCTAAGGTCCAGCATGTCTGACTTGTCCAAGTAGAAGTTGCTAATCTGCCGCCGAGATTAACTGGGACACAGTGTCCACAGCCAAGAAAAAATTATCGGTACCATGCGCCATGGCAAGCTAAGCGTGGATTTGTCACTTTAGACCGACAAGAACTACACGCGAACCCTGAGCAAAATTGAGCTTATTTTGTGCCATATTTGTTTGTTTTGCAACAAAAGATTACGATCCTTCTTTCGTACAGCTTCCACGCACAGCAGTACGCTGTAAAGCCCAGCTGCTGCACACTGCTTAAACGTCATCGCGTGATCCGTACTCCCTACTAACTTATTGTGGGGAAGGCCATTGCGTCTGCGACCACACTCCCGCGGTACCCAAACCCTTCAAAGACAACTCCGATCAGCCATTTGGCTGTTAGTGGGAGGGCGGGTGGGCCGCTCGCACGGCAATCGAGTAGAGAGTACGAAATAACCTAATGCAGTCATCGTCAACAGAAAACGTAAGCCTCCAGCCTCACGCCGACTCTCTTACCTACCATTCATATTTTCTACCTCGTTCACAAGACTCCGCCGCGTTGCCTCTAGTTCGGCTCGTGCCACAGGTAACTTCGCTCGTCGCTACTTTGCCATTCACCTTCGCCTCCACCCAGCCTCTGCTTCTCCACAGAAGCGGCGACCTCCTTCGCCGTTGTTACGCCTCGTCTATGCGACTCCTCATCATCCGGCTGGGTCTTCTGCCTACCCGGTGCGCGCCCCCTCCCTCTGCGCATCCGTTTCTCCGGCCCTCTCTTACGGTTGCCTACCTTACTGCAGGACTCGCCCCTTGCCTGTCCTGTGCCGGGTAGGCTTTCCTTGCCTCCCCCGGCCCTACTTGGGGCGCCCCTCTCTGGCTCGTCAACTACCTTACTTCCGTCCGTCCCTGCCCCTCGGGGGCCCAACCCCTCCGCCCTTTCTGT